TTGAAGCCTTCGGGTTGAGCTGGGGTGGTCTGGGTGGTTTGGTGGGTGGTAAACAACCCCCCCACCCAAAACGACAGTCCTCAGACATTCAACGTCTTGATGCTTTTAACACAGGGCCCCCAGAAGCATCGGCCCTTTCCCCAGGGCGGGTGTGTCATTCCCAACCCTGGGGTCCAGCGAGGGCCCCCAAAGGAGGAAAGAAACCAAAAACCTCCCGTCGTGAGTATCTCACAGCGCGAGCAGGAGAAGGACAAGGCGGAGGAGGTGGAGGAGGAGGAGGAGGAGGAGGAGGTCGGAGGTCGGAGACTGCGACGAGCTGCAGGAGCAGGACGACGGCGGGTCCAGGTCGCGGATCTTCTTGCTGAGGGCCCGCATCTCCTTGAGCCGCTCCTCCCCGAGGTCTCGCTCCAGCTTCGAGAGGCGCTCCTTGATGCGCTCGGCCGTGGCGTCGCCATGGTCGGCGGCGGTCCTGGCCCGCTGGCCCGCTGGAGGCCGAGGTGAAGCTCTTGGCGGGAGAAGGGCGCCGCCGCGGTGAGGCACGGGCTGCCCCTGCCCTCCCAGGCGCGCACCAGGCACCCAGAGAGGGGAAACAGAGGTCGGCGCGACACCCTTGCAGACGTGCTGCAGCGGAATTTTGCGTGGATGCCTGTCCATGCAAAACCCCGAAACGGCGAGTGAAAAACGAAGTGAAGTTCGCGTGGATATTTGTTTAGTCTTCAACCCTGGCCAAAAAATCCGCACGAAATTCACCTCGAAATCCAGAACGAAATTCTCCAGGACATTCCGGGCCCATCCTATCTTTTCCGAACGAAATCCGCTCTGCGATGTGGGCGCCATGACAGAGGAGGGGCAGAGTGGAGGGCAGGCTGGCCGAGCATCCTTCCGCGCGCGACGCGCGTCATCGTCCGTGGAAGACCATGTAGCTCTGTGCAGCATCGCGCACAGCCTCGCGCGCCGCCTGACACCCAAGCATCGTGCACGCACATGGCCAGCTATGTTGGCACGAAGCCAAGGGATCCTGAGTGGCACGAGCCCTGGACGCCGGAGTTCTCCCCCAAGACCCGCTTCTCCTCCTGAGTAGTTATTTCGCACGTCTGGGGCCCGTAGGGGAACTCCGCGAGCCCGAAAACGGTGGAGAACCTCAGGACTCGTTTCCCTCAACATCCCTTTGCCTCATGGCCAACTCTAGAAGCACGAAGCCGCGGGCACGCGAGAGGGGTCGAGCTTCAGTGGAAGCAGGTGAGCATCGTTTGGCCGATCCCCATCCCCACTGGCGTGGCCTTGGCACCACTGGCTTACCCCCTTTGCTGGGGATATAGGCTGTTCTCTTCGTGCTTCGCAGTATCTATCCCCACTGGGAGGGGTGGGGGCTGGTGGGGCCACGGTCGAGAACCTTTGGACAACTTGTCGCTCCGCCGGTTCTGGCCCACCACGCTGCGGCGCGACACGCTATCCACGTCCTGGTCCCCGAGCGTCAACGTCCCGAGCCAGTCCCAGCCTCCTAGCCCGCGAAGCGGAGCGACGCGCTATCCGCTCGCAATGAGTAGCGTGCCGCCGGGGCCGCCGCGGCGACTCGCTATCAAAATTATCCCGGCAAAGCAACCTAACAGCGATGAGTAGGAGCATATCTGGAAGCATTCCCCTTACGATTCAGATGAGAATCCAGTTGTAGAATTCTGCTGTTCTCGCAGTCGTAGTCGCATTCGCGATGACAGTCGCAGTGGCAACGGCAGTCGCAGTCACAGCCTCAGCCTCAGCCTGCCTCAGCCTCAGCCTCAGCCTGCCTCAGCCTCAGCCTGCCTCAGCCTCAGCCTCAGCCTGCTTCAGCCTCAGCATCAGTCTGCCTTCAGCCTCGGCCTCAGCCTCAGCCTGCCTCAGCCTCAGCCTGCATCAGCCTCAGCCTCAGCCTCAGCCTGCCTCAGCATCAGCCTGCCTCAGCCTCAGCCTCAGCCTGCCTCAGCCTCAGCCTCAGCCTGCCTCAGCCTGCCTCAGCCTCAGCCTGCCTCAGCCTCAGCCTGCCTCAGCCTCAGCCTCAGCCTGCCTCCTCAGCCTGCCTCAGCCTCAGCCTCAGCCTGCCTCAGCCTCAGCCTCAGCCCTCAGCCTCAGCCTCAGCCTCAGCCTCAGCCTCAGCCTCAGCCTCAGCCTGCCTCAGCCTCAGCCTCAGCCTCAGCCTCAGCCTCAGCCTGCCTCAGCCTCAGCCTCAGCCTCAGCCTCAGCCTGCCTTCAGCCTCAGCCTCAGTCTGCCTTCAGCCTCAGCCTCAGCCTCAGCCTCAGCCTCAGCCTCAGCCTCAGCCTCAGCCTGCCTCAGCCTCAGCCTCAGCCTGCCTCAGCCTCAGCCTCAGCCTGCTTCAGCCTCAGCCTCAGTCTGCCTTCAGCCTCGGCCTCAGCCTCAGCCTGCCTCAGCCTCAGCCTGCATCAGCCTCAGCCTCAGCCTCAGCCTGCCTCAGCATCAGCCTGCCTCAGCCTCAGCCTCAGCCTGCCTCAGCCTCAGCCTCAGCCTGCTTCAGCCTCAGCCTCAGTCTGCCTTCAGCCTCGGCCTCAGCCTCAGCCTGCCTCAGCCTCAGCCTGCATCAGCCTCAGCCTCAGCCTCAGCCTGCCTCAGCATCAGCCTGCCTCAGCCTCAGCCTCAGCCTGCCTCAGCCTCAGCCTCAGCCTGCTTCAGCCTCAGCCTCAGTCTGCCTTCAGCCTCGGCCTCAGCCTCAGCCTGCCTCAGCCTCAGCCTGCATCAGCCTCAGCCTCAGCCTCAGCCTGCCTCAGCATCAGCCTGCCTCAGCCTCAGCCTCAGCCTCAGCCTCAGCCTCAGCCTGCTTCAGCCTCAGCCTCAGTCAGCCTGCCTCAGCCTCAGCCTCAGCCTCAGCCTCAGCCTCAGCCTCAGCCTCAGCCTCAGCCTCAGCCTCAGCCTCAGCCTGCCTCCTCAGCCTCCTCAGCCTCAGCCTGCCTCAGCCTCAGCCTCAGCCTGCTTCAGCCTCAGCCTCAGTCTGCTTTCAGCCTCGGCCTCAGCATCAGCCTGCCTCAGCCTCAGCCTGCCTCAGCCTCAGCATCAGCCTGCCTCAGCATTCAAAATTTGGCCTGGGAATGGATTTCTGGGAACTCGAAGAACACGAAGTAGCCTACAGTTGGCTCCGGGCATTCAAAATCATGCCCAGGACTGGAGTTTTGGGAACTCGAAGAACACGAAGTGGCCTACAGTTGGCTCCGGGCATTCAAAATCATGCCCAGGACTGGAGTTCTGGAAACTCGAAGAGCACGAAGTGGCCTACAGTTGGCTCCGGGCATTCAGAATGTGGCCCGGGAATGGAGTTCTGGGAACTCGAAGAACACGAAGTGGCCTACAGTTGGCTCTGGGCATTCTGAATGTGGCCCGGGAATGGAGTTCTGGGACCTCGGAGACCACAAAGTGTGTAACTGTTTGCTTAAAACGACTTCCGCGGATTCTCCCCGGATCCTGCCCGGACCCCCCTGGGGAGTCATAATGCTTTCTTTTGAAACCATTAGAAACCTATCAGTCTTCGCTGTTAGGTAGAAATCCTGACCGAAAGGTGCCACGGCCCGGTGGGGATGGGGATCGGTCAGGTGATGCTGACCAGAGGCTGTACGGGCGCTCCTCTTGACGACCCCGCTGTCGGGCGGCATGCCGGCCCCGTGCAAGCATCCGGGAGAAGGGGCTCCGGCTGTACAACGCTGCAGAGCCGCAGGAGCAACGGCCGACGCGCGGGCGCGAGTGGGCGAAAGACAGCAGAGGTGAGCATGCTTCGGGCTTCGAGAATCGAGGTTCGTTTTCAGGGCGGTCTCTGATCTGATCTTCCTGGACCAGCCTCAGAACGCACCCCAGGAGAGGTCAGGGGGACGATCTTTGACCCCTGATTACGTAAAGTCAACCATACAATCGACGAAGTCTGCTGCCGCGGCGCACGCTGGGGCCCACACAAGGTGCCCAGCGCCAGCGGGGCAAGTCATGGCAACCCAGGGGGGGCGGCCTCGCGACGACGACAAGGCAGGCCGTGCGGGAGAAGGGTCACAGCCCTGGATGGGTGAGAGAAGTGACGAGAAAGAGTCGGATCATGGGGATAACCAGCTTGGAAGCAGAAGTGAGAAGAAGGGGGCCCTGGGGAAAGAGGATGGAGGCCTCCTAGGGTGTAATAAGAATGATGGGGAATGCAGGGGGAAGAGCTAGAAGGGAGAGAGAAGGGAGCTAGGAAGGGAGGAGGAACATGAGAATACAATGCAAGTAAAAGACAATATCAAGCTTTTCGCAACGCTTGCGAGAAGGACTTGTGCACAGTCGCACCAGCAACATCGTAGAGTGGGAAGACCAAGAGCACGGGCACGCTTGGCGAGCTGACCGGGACGCAGGGCAAACGGCAGCCGATCGGAGAGGTTCTTCTGGCACATTCCTGGACGGCGGAGGCCAGATCCTGGATCCGCGCCCATTCCAATCCGCGCCCATTACAAACTGTAGTGGCCTCTGGTCTTTGCCGCTGCCGCTGCCTCGTTTCTCGCTTGCTCCCCTTGCCTCCCTCCCCTGCTCCCTCATTGTTGTTCCGCTGTCGCTTCGCTGCCTCGCCTTTGCCGTGTCCTCTCGTCCGCTTGTCCTCGCTGCCGCCGCTCTCTCTCTCACTGTCGCCGCGCAATATTGGGTCTCCTTGCTTATCAACATTTCACCCGCTCCCTATCGATAGCATTAGGGGTAGTTTCCCGGAGTTCTGTCCGTCACCGTGAAATAAAGAAAGAAAGAAAGACTAATGGAGGAAAAGAAAACATGTGGGAAATGAAGGATGGACGAAACACGAAGGATGAACCATGAAAGAAGGGCGGAGAGAAGGCCGAGGAGTGCTGAAAGACGAAGGAAGGGGCCCCAGACTCTCCACATCCTCATGGAGGTCCGCGACCGCATCACAGCACCTTCTTGAGCAAGAGACTCCCCTCAGGCTGATGCCAGAGACGCTCTCGAGCTGGGCTGTGTGCCCACTTCTCCTCACTCACTCTTCTCTTCCACCTCCCACGCCCTTCCGCCCGGATGCTCTGGTGAATGCAGGGTCGTGCTGGCATTATGAATGCAGCCTCTCGTTCTTCTCAGTCCACGCCCCAGCACAACGCCCACAATATAGCTGAAGGTGTTGCCACGCGGGGCAGGCCGACGAGCGGCTCAACTTTTCCGTGATGCGCAAGCCGATTCTGGCCAGGGGTGCCTCGATGAGTTGCGCCCACTAACTGTGCCAGGGGGCCTTCCGCGATCGGGGGACGAGGGTACAAGACACATGCGGCGCCGTGCTCTGTGCTAGCACAGCAATTTACAAGCACCAGGCCGCAGACGCTAAAGACAGAGCAGGGCTCAGGAGCCGAAAGTAACTGTGACATCGACGTTCTGAACAACGCAGGCCAAGTACCCCGCGTTCAACCGGAGCGGCTTGTCGGCCGCCTGGCCAGCCCTGTTGAACTTTTTGTTGAAGCGGAACTCAGCCGTGGACCGAGGCGGCGTGAAGGCCGCCGGCCACCCGGTGTTGGGATCCTGCGTCCACAGCTTAAAGGTCGAGACGCGGTTCTCGAGATCCATGGTCACCTCCACCCAGTCACCGATCTTCAGAGGCTTCACGTGCGCTGGAGCCTTGATGACCTCTCCGAATATCCTCATGCAGATCATGCCCCGCTGATTCACGAAGATCGAGCATATCCTCTGTATGTTCTTCGGGCACGGGAGCTGCGAGGCGAACACGAAGCCGACGCCGTCCGCTCTACTGAGTTCCCCGCTGGTGAACTGCACGAGATACCTGGACGGCGTAGCCGATGTTTCTTATCGCTGTCATCATTGCATTCCTCCTCCTCCTCCTCCTCCTCCTCCTTCTCATCCTTCTTCTTATCCTCCGTCGCTCTTCGCCCACCGATGTCCTCCTCCTCTTCCTCCTAGTCGCTGTTTGAGGGGTCAAAAGCATACCGACCGCACCTCATGTACAATCGTACAGCAGCGATTCTTGCGCTCCCCACACCCACTAGCCTCGGGAGCAGGGAGGACTGGGGAGCACTCATGGCGACGACCGCTTGACCTGGCCGACAAGCATGCGGATCTCCTACTACAATCCGCTGGAAGCGGGGAACAACGAACGCCTCGAAGACATTAGTACGGAACTACACAGCTGGGACATAATATAACTACGTGGTACGTGCAGATGGGCGGGGCCAGAGGCAATACAGCGCACACACCTACCCTCACACGTAGTACTACAGCTTGGGGCCCGAAAGGCACATGGGTCAACAAAAGCTGCGGGACAGCCAGACTAATCAGTCACAGGGTAGACGAGCGAGCCATCAGAAAAATACACACCCCACCAGCATACCTCCAGGGACGGGTCTCAGGAGTCCGAATCGCCACCAGGGGGTACGACTACGCCTTTTTTGTGCACTACTACGCACCTACACACGTCCCATACTACGCGACACTTGCAGACAGTATTACTAGGTGGATGGAACAACGCACAGACAAGCTAGGGTGTCGCACAACAGTAAGATTGGGAGAAGACGTGAACAGTGACTTAGGGTGCCAGCGCGACTACGACGGTACAATAGTATGCAGCAAAGGCCCGCAATAGGCAGGCAGCAGCCGAAGATCGAGAACGCCAACGGCACCAGCTACAGAAACGTGTGCCAGACAAGCGACCTCAGTGTAGTCACTACTCGCTACAAAGTAGGACCTACATACTACGGACACTCGGGCCACACCAGCAGAGTAGACCACATAGCTACTCCGATTGGCGGATTAGGGCTTGTAAAGCAATGCGCGGCACTCCATCTATCAGGCAAACGACTCCACAAGATAAAAGCGCGAGGACACCGAGACCACTTGCCCATAGGACTCACACTACAGGCATCGACCGCCGCCTCCTCTTTCCCCACTCGGCCCCGTATACAGCAAGGATTGTGCAGAGACGGACTGACGGAGTGTCTCCGCACCGGACACAAGCGGGAGCAACTCCTTACTACCATTGACCAGGAGGTAGAGGCAGTGGGGAGGGAAAAGTGCGAGGAGGCTCTTTCAGAACCGACCCCAGGCACTACCTGGGACCTACTGGGGGGGCAGTACGACAGGCCATGCTTACCACATGTGTGAAGAACAAGGGACAGGACGAAGTAGACGAGCTAACGAAGAAAGCAAAAGCGACTCGGCTCCAGTTACTAAGACGACGAAGGAGCATACGACAACGACTCACCGACGAAGCCATGGCCGACGAATACGGCGAAGTAGAAGCCGAGCTCGAAGAATTCAGAGCCGTACTCAAACAAGCTAGGAAACAGGTGGAGGAGGAAAGGAGGGCCAAGTAAGTAGAACGCATCTGGGAGGCCTATGACCGCAGGAATTTTGCAGAAATGTACCGACTGAGAATACAATACCAGCGGAACGGCAGAGGCCCGAAGAAGCGTTACCGCCTTACCCCAAAACAAGCTGGTCAAAATAATACTGGCTGGAAGAGCTGGGACGACCAGCGCTCGAGGGCGGACTCGGAGCACAACCGATCGACCGAGACGAAGTTCAAGCCGAGCGTGCACTAAACGTTTCCGACAATATCGAGCGACTACCGACAGACACCGAACTACGAGGCCAGGTAGAGGATGACAAAAAGGCGATGTCACGATACTGTCGGAGGGCGTGCAAACGAAGAGCATAGCCAGCATGGTGGATACTGACAGAGTTTACCTGGCTACTACTTGACCCCTCCCTCCACCTTAGGAACCACACCGACGAATCCGATCAGATAGACCTCCGAAGGATAGCAGCAGCAGAGAAGAGAGGAGACGAGGAGGAGCATCACACCACTCTGGGAAAGTTCCAGAAAGGGAAGGAAGTACTACAACAAATGGGGTGGACTATGGGTACAGCTTTGGGCAAGGCAATAGGGCCAGTGGACGACGACAACTATTCAGACATGTGGGAACAACGGCCGTACGGAGTGGGCAGGGGGACTTACGCAGGATCAGGAGCGCCGAGGATACAAGAGTTCCAGCACAAGTGCAAGAAATACCTCGACCAGTTCCTACTACAGTGTCGAAGCTGCCAGGTTACGCCGTTAGATCGGCGTCGCTCAAGGATGGCATATCTGGGCCCGGCACAGAAACGGAAAGAGCGCTTCAGAAACAGAAACCGAAATTACTCATACCACCGTTCGTACTGGGAGCCTTGGCGTTCAGAGCTTGTTACGTCACCCCGCGCTCTTGGGAGCCTTGGTGTTCAGAGATTGTTGCGTTGCCGCCCGTTCCTGAGCCTTGGCTGGGCATTGGTGTGAGGAACTCGTTACGTCACCGCTCCCTGCTGGGAGCCTTGGTCTAATCAGCTTGTTTACGTCACCATTTGCTCTTGGGAGCCTTGGTGTGAAGAGCTTTTTGCGCTACCGATCGCTCTTTATTTGGCTTCTCTGGGCCTTCTTGGGAGTCCTATTGCGGCCCTTTTCGAGCACCTTTGGGGGTCTCTTGGGGGCCTCTTGGGGCTTCTTGGGGGGCTCTGGGGGCCTCCTGGGAGCTTCTTGGGGCGAAAGGCTAAGACTGTTCGGTTCGTGGTCCCCCTCTTGGGGCCGTCTTGGGCCCTCTTGGGCCGTCTTGGGCGCCTCTTGGGCCGTCTTGGCGCCCTCTTGGGCCGTTTTGGGAACCTCTTGGGAGCCTCTTGGCCCGTCTTGGGGCGGTCTTTGGGGCCTCTTGGAACATCTTCAACGCCGTGAAAGCCGAAAAGCCTTGTATGCTAAACATGTAAATTCTCCCACAGGAAATCAATGATTTTGGCCTCCTGGTGGCGTCCTGGGACGGCTCTTGAGGGCCTCTTGGGGCTTCTTGGGGGGCTCTTGGGGCCTCCTGGGAACGTCTTGGGCCGAAAGGCTAAACTTTTCGGTTCGTGGTCCCCCTCTTGGGGCCGTCTTGGGGCCCTCTTGGGCCGTCTTGGGCGCCTCTTGGCCTCTTGGACCCTCGTGGGGCCCTCTTGTGGCCCTCTAGGGCCGTTTTGGGAGCCTCTTGGGAGCATCGTGGGCCGTCTTGGGGCGGTCTTGGGGGCCTGTTGGGCCGTCGTCAACGCCGTGAAAGCAGAAAGACCGTATATGCTAAAAAATATAAGCTTCCCTATGGAAAATCAATGCTTTTGCCATCTTGGGGCCCTCTTGGGACGCCCCTTGGGCGCCTCTTGGGCGCCTCTTGGGGGCCTCTTGGGGACCTCTTGGGCCGTCTTGGGCGGTCGTGGGCTCTCTTGGAGCGCTCTTGGGCCGTCTTGGGGGGGAACCCGAAAAAAACATGCAAAAGCCCGAGGGAAAACCCGAAAACGGCCAGTAACACTCATTCGTTCGCGGTACCCCCCTCCCCTGGAACCCCTCCCTTTAGGGCTTCGCCCACACCAGAACGTCATCACTCGCACCTCGCCCTTTCCGTTACTGGGCAAGCGGGTACTACACGTCTACGACCCCTTCGGAATGGCATGGCACTCAGGGATACAACAACGAGCCCCCCCCCCCACCGACCACCCACCATGGGCACAGGGAGAACTACCACACAGGTGCACGGAGAACCCCATTATGTCTGCACAAGGCGCCCAGTGGAGGGCCGCACAAGGAGGGATCAGCGCCATCACCAACAACTACGACGGTACCAACGCCTTTGCAGCCGCGAACAGAACACTACTAAAAGCGGTTGCATTTCAAAACGATCGCGGACGAGACCAACGGTACGCAATGGCTGGCATTGACCACTCCACCATGTCGCTCGAGGCGGCAGACGGCCAAGTAAAAGTGGAAAGCCCGACGGGAGCACAAATGGGCTTCCCTCTCTGCCCACGACAGTTTAACGACGCGTACAGCATCTACGATAAGCAAATGGTGGTCACAGGGAGGAAGCGATCCAAACCAGACTATACACGACACCTACGACCCAGTGGGAGGTAATACACATGACATCGGCCTCAATACATTCATGGACGACATCACCCAAGTACAAACTATACCAGACACGGCCACGGCACAGGATTGTCCCCGGGGGCACGGCGCAATGCTCGCTGCAGTATTTGGCTCTTCCCGACTAGACGTATCACGGGGGCCAGGAAGCTTACGGACATGAACTAGATTGGACTACATTCTACTCTGTGTGCCCAACAATTTGCAGCAGACATGCAGCTACTATTTGAGAGAGACGCGGGGATGGGATGGTACGCACAACGAGACTCAGACCTGCCTATATTTGAGACAGGGGGGCACATACCAAAAACTGTGGTTACAGACAGACCCCATAATGTTGCACAGTTATGAAAGAAACTGGGACGTACGATCGAGGAGGGAGGAAAAGGTCAGAGGCCGAAGGGGGAGAGGAGGAAGACGTAGTACGACCTTACTGGTGCACTACATGTGGACACAGAGGGAGTGGAAACTACATGTGGACAGAGATTTCTAACTTACGCAACCCTTGCAGGGCACCGACGGGAAGTGCACAACCTTAGACCAGTTGTTGCAGCAGTAATAGTCAACAGCCAGTGCCCGTGGTGTTAGAATACGTTCGTAGACAGGAAGCAACGATCGACCATGCCACGATATCGGTCCACAAGCACGGGCTATGCCACCAGGACAGGTCCAAGTGGGCCCACCCCATACAACAACCCAGGACACCGACATGTAGAATGTGTACCCATCAGGCTCACATACTAGAGGAATACCAGGCGCATATACGAGAGCACCTCGCGGGCCCCGAACAGATCCGAGCAGCAAAAGCGGTGCTGCACATAGCCTCAAACGCCGTGGTCGAGCAGATGGAAGGGAGGGTCAAGCGCCCACCGCCGTCAGGCCCAGAAGAACTACGACCACAGAAGCAGGCCAACAGCGGCGAGGGCAGCGGCAGCCAGGCGAACCCACCAGGAGCCCGAGGAGGAGGACGAGGTCGCGGACCCCCAGGAGAAGGCGGAGGCCCGGGTGGGGGGGGAGAGGGAGTGCAAGCAGACCTACGAGACAGCACACGGGCACTACAGCGGCTGGCTCTGCAGAGCGCAGCAGAGATTCGCACCCTCTCCCACCTCACCAGCGAGTTCTGGCTGGCCCTCCTCGCGGAAGAATGGATCCGGGCAGCGATAGAGACAGGCTGCGAGTACGGCAGAAAGGTGAAGGCGAAGGGCAAAGGCCTCGGATACGGTCCTCCTCACGGCCACGTCGCAGCTGCTTTTGTGGAAGGTATAGTGGAGGCGTTCAAGACCAAAGTGCAGGACAACGACCAGCAGATGCAGCACGTGACGAAGACCCTCACGGAGTTCATGGAACAGCTGGACCAGCCATGGGGGCCGACATTCGTGACGGAAGTCTTCCTGCAGCGCAAGATTCAGGAGGCCTACAAGCCGTCGGACGAGGAGATGGAGACGGAGCCGCGCAAGGCCAAGGTCATGTACAGGAACAGGACGTCGTCGTCGTTCAGGGCAGCACTATTCGAGCAGAACTTAGACCAGGCCCAGTGCGAGAGGATCCTAGGCTTCAAGGGGGACATGTTCAAGCAGTCCCTCGGGTTGGTGCTCGCGATCCTGGGCGCCAAGAAGAGCCGCTCGGGAGGCCCGAAGACGGGCCTAGAGAGGGTAGCAGAGGCCCAGCTCAGCAGGCGCCGCGGACAGTGAGCCTGCCAACAGAGAAGCCCAGCAGTCCTCAGACGCCAGAAGTTGCGGGCCCCGCGAACGCCTCCTCAGGACCAACGGGACTAAGGCCATCCAGCGATAGGCCCCCCTCAGTCCCGCCGTACACCAGAGAGGAAAAAGTTGCGATGCAGATCAGCAGCGACCTCGAGCGATATGCGATATTACGAGACAAAGCGTCACGATTGGGGGGGGACACATGGCGGAAATACTACGCATGGCTACTTACTATCGGGAACAAAGTTCCTGGGAATACTATCAGGCCATGGGAAAACAATGAGATAAGGTTGGCCACAATATCAGCCAACCTACTATCACATCTACGGTCTAACCACCCACCTCCACCACTACCAGGCACATTGGCCTCCGTTGCAGGACTAGACAGACAGCTACTGGAGAAAGGACCTCACGACAGCAGAGTATGTTCGAGTGCGAGCGGACCTACTACGTATGGAACCCACCAATGTGACGACTGCGGACCGGCATCGGTGATTTACTCGACCCACCAGAGGGGAAACCATAATGGGCCTCACAGGCACTCACCACTACGGAGCCTCAGGAGGAAACAAGAGAAAAGCCGAACCAGGACCAAACCAGGACATTACGTACCAAGAGTTGGAACGGCTGGGATTCTCAGCATTACCCCGACCCTCCGCTTTCCCCCACAGCCACGGAGACAACTACGGACACACGCCTGCTCCCTCCTACTATGTTGCGTCCCCCTGCTCAGGTAACAGCCAGGCCAGGCCAGGAACAAGGCGCCAGGCGCCGACTCCACCACTACCAGGTACGTCTCCCACCGCAGCCCGTTCGACTCGATCAGAGCGTACGGCATCATCCCACGCGCGGGACTAGCTGGAGCTACTACCGACACCGCGGCCTGTTGGCATGGCGCAGCAGCGCAGCCCAACCGCTGGGGGCAGCGTCCGCGGCGGCCGAGCCTCACACTCCAGTGCAGGAGGCAGCGATGGAGACAGCGCGGAGGTGGACCAGGCGATCAGGTCTTCGGAACCATGCAGTACCGCCTGGGGACGCGCCACAAAACGCAGCAGCGCACCAGTGCGAAGCACGACGACATCATCCAGCACAACCACATTGTCCTCTACGGCATATACAAGCAGAAGGAGCGCATCACGATGAGTCTCACGAGGATCGCGGCCAGCGGGAGCCCGAACCAGTACGAGGAGATAGAGCGCACCCACGTGGCGGAGCTCCTCAGGCAGCAGCTTGACGAGAACAGCAAGGCCATTGAGCACTGCCGCGGCGTCGAGATCATCCTCGGCAGCCAGGGTAGGCTTCGCAAAGGGCCAACCCGTTGGAGCTCGACTACGAGAGGCTCCAGATAGACGAGCTCGAGGAGTGCTACACCAAGTGGACGGAGAGCGACCACGGCTGGGGAAACGATGAGGTGAACATGGTGGACCAGAGCGGTCTCAACAGCCTGCAGCAGTTGCACAACAGCAGCAAGCAGCAACGCCCCAAGTGCCCAAGCCTCAGCAAGAGCATCCAGGGGTGGACGCCGTACGTGAAGGTGCTGCCGACGCAGCTGCAGCTCCAGCCCCCACCCCCGTCAGGCATTCCAGCGGAACCGACAGCTCCGAGCCCGAGCGGGGACCTCCGCCTCCGTGACCCATCGGTCGCAGAGAAGGCGGGGTGAGCCTGGGTTGCATGTCGTGAGCAGTGAATCCAGCCAGCAGCCTGCCCTTTTGTTTTTCTTTCGAGCCCGCTCGGGCTGCGCCAGAAGCTCCCCCGTCCAGCACTGACCTGCCAATGACGCTTACTACATATGACGGAGAGTAGCAAATTAGCAGAAGGCGGGCTCCATCACACAGTTCAGCAGCAGGCCATCTTTTCTGTTGCTCCCGCATCGTGCCGACAGCAGCGAGGGGTGGTGGGAGGAGTGGGGAGAGGGGGAGGGGGGGAGAGTGCTCTCAACGACCTTGGGCTCGTCCCAGTCGGGGAACTCCTAGGGCCGCCAGCGTCCGCCATTCAGCTCTTCAGGGCAGGGTCTCCCTGCTACGGTGCAGCGGCCCACCACCACAGGGTCGGGGGCCGCGCGCACCAGGCAGCCCTCGGCCGCAATCATTGACGGGGGGCCTGCATCCGTATCCCCACCCAGGGGTCAGCTCAGCAAGTAGTGTGGCTGACATCCAGACGCCCAAGGGCCTTATCCTCATTCCTCCTCCTCCTTCTCCTCCTCCTCCTCCTCCTCCTCCTCTTCCTCCTACTCGTCATCATCCTCCTCCTTCCTCCTCCTCATCATCATTCTGCTTCGCCGGCCATCCTTCCCCTCCTCCCTCCTTCTGAGCTCCAAAGTTGGATATCTGGGCGGGCAGGTTGCTCTTGCGCGTCGCGCTGCGAGAACCGCAGGTAGCGACGAGTCTCGCACGGTCCCAGGAAGGAGGAGGGGGAAGCAGGAGGGACGAGGGAGGAGTGAGAAAAGAGAGAGACTTTTCTTTATTCATCCCGTCCCCACATCTCCTCCCTCCGCTAGGGCGGAGAAGTGGGGAGGGTGAGAGAGGGGGAGAGATAAAAGGAGGGGTAAGGGATGAGCAGGAGAGGGATGCGGGAAGGGAAGACGCAAGAACGAGGCGCTCCAATTTTTCGGTGCGTGGACCACCGGAGGTCTGGACCACTTCCCTAGCTTTGGGTTTTCGTCCTGAGTCGTTTTTAGACGGCCCCGGGCCCCGCGAGGGCCCCTGGAGGCCAAAAACGGCCAAAAGCCAGCCGCTCCAACTTTTGTTTCGGAGCCTCGCATCTCTGGCGAGGAGGGAGCAGGGGCCGGAGGGTTGAAGGGTGAGGCAGCGCTGGGCACCTGTGCATGCCACCCATGTGGACCTCCCCCTGCTCTCTCGAGGCTCCTGCTCCTGCTCCTCCTCATCCTCATCCTCATCCTCCTCCTGCTCCTCGTCCGCAGCCCTGGCACCCACTGACCTTTGCAGCGGGCGTCCACCGGGACAGGCGTGTGAGAGGGGTCCCCCACGCGACCTGCGAGCCGAGGCCCCTGACCCAGGTCGGTGGGAAAAACACCAAAGCGGCTGGAAAATACCAAGGGCGGCGGGACCAGGGCAGACAGGGAGCAGCATGCAAGGGCGGCCTGGCGGGGGGGAGGGAAGAGGCGGAGGGGAGGGAAGAGGCGGGGGGAGGGGGGGCGGTCGTCGGAACGTCGTGGGCGTCCTCCTCCAGCTGCTCCTCCTCCTCCTCCTCCTCCTCCTCCTCCTCCTCCTCACCTTCTCCTCCTCCACCTCCTCCGTCTCCTCCTCCTCCTCCTCGTTCTCCTGCTCCTCCATCCCGTCTCCTTACAAATAACTCCTCCCTGTGGCACCCCGAAGCGTGTCAGTAGGGCGGACCGAGCGTTTCGCCTGAGACTTCCTCACAATGTATGATCACCGAGCTTAACAAATGCAACAACTTCACGTATAGAGGGCAATCTGTTTTATGTGGCGCTCGCCTGAGCTCCGCGTATACTCGTCTTAAGAGTTGACCACCCTCTCAAGGACTCGTGTGGACAGTTACGTTGATTCGCGACGTTGAAGTTTCAGGAATGTGTTCTGCGACGGTTCAGGATGTTCGAGCGACTGCGTAAAAACGACTACTCGTAGGAACCTATGAAGAAGGAACTTAGAGTGAGGGTTTATCACAACATCGTTTCTGAGCCCTGGGTTTGCACTGGAAATCCTCCTCCACCTCTTCCTCCTCCTCCGCTTCCTCCTCCTCCTCCTCCTCCTCCTCCCTCTCCTCCTGCTTCAACTATCCACATCCTCCTCCTCCTCCTCCACATCCTCCTCCTCGTCCTCATCCTCCTTCCTTCTCCTCCTCCTCCTCCTCCTTTTCCACCTCCTCCTCCTCCTCCTCTTCTTCCTCCTCCTCCTCCTTCTCCTGCTCCTCCTTCTCCTCCTCCTCCTGCGCTGGGGCACCTGTGCACGCCGCCCATGTGCACCTCCCCCTCGGACACCACGCTGAGCCGGCCCGCGTAGGCCGGGCCCTGGCACGGAGAGCGCGCCCCACCCCTGGTCCTCCCCTCTCGACGTCTTTGTCGGGGCGGAGGGAGGGAAGCGCGGAAATGAGGCCAGCGCTGCAGCGGGAGCAAGATTCGGATGACGCGTAGCCTGACATAGCATGGCGCGGCGACGCCCCAAAGGAGGGCTTCTGCGACCCAAAAAGCCAACGAGGCGACTTCCGATAGTTCTTTCGGGGGGCATTTTCTAGCTTTTGGGGCCTATGTGTAAGGACCGAAAATCATGACGTGGCAGGGCGCTGGAAATGATGACGCCAGCGCCGCAGCGGGAGCACGATTCGGAACGAGCGGTAGCCCGAAAACGAAGCCAGCCCTTCAGCGAGAGCAGCATTCCCCCCCCCAGAAAAAATACGCTGCCGAGGAACCCCACAGACTGATATTATTGTTGGAGTGATGATAGCTAAAGTGAAGCACGTGAGAATGATGTTGGTGGCCGTTGCCCCGTCGATACCGTTAGTGACGACAGTCAAAAGGAAAGTTGCAAGGCCGAAACGGATGGCGACATAGCGACCGCACCCCCAGGGCACCCCCTGTGGCGCCGAAACGCCTGCCACGCTTTGCGAAGCCGAAGCGGATAGTGACCGCACCCCCAGCGCACCCCCTGTGGCATCGAGAAGTTGCCACGCCTGCCACTCGTTGCGAGCCCGAAACGCATAGCGACCGCACCCCCAGCGCACCCCATGTGGTGCCGAGGAAGTGCCACGCCTGCCACGCCTTGCGACGCCGAAACAGATAGCGACCGCACCCCCAGCGCACCCCCTGTGGCGTCGAGAAGGTGCCACGCCTGCCACGCCTTGCGAGGCCGAAACGGATAGCGACCACACCCCCAGCGCACCCCCTGTTGCGTCGAGGAAGTGCCACGCCTGCCACTCGTTGCGAGCCCGAAACGCACAGCGACCGCACCCCCAGCGCACCCCCTGTGGCGCCGAGAGGGTGCCACGCCTGCCACGCTTTGCGAGGCCGAAACGGATAGCGACCGCACCCCCTGCGCACCCCCTTCCGGTGTCGAGAAAATGCAACGCATGCTAGGCCCTGCGACATTGGCGCGTACAGAAAACGCGGTGAGGGACCCCCTCCGCACCCCCTCCGGTGTCGAGAAAATGCCACGCCTGCTAGGCTCCACGACATTGGCGCGTACAGAAAACGCGGTGAGGGACCCCCTGCGCACCCCCTCCGGTGTCGAGAAAATGCCACGCCTGCTAGGCTCCACGACATTGGCGCGTATGGAAACCGCGGTGAGGGACCACCCCCTGCGCACCGCCTCTGGTGTCGAGAAAGTGCCACGCCTGCTAGGCTCTGCGACATGGGCGCGTATAGAGACCGCGGTGCGGGACCCCCCCCTGCCCCCCCCCTTTGGCGTCGAGAAAGTGCCACGCCTGCTGGGTCCTGCGACGTTGGCGCGTACAGGGACCGCGGTGCGGGACCACCCCCTGCGCACCCCGATCTGGTGTCGAGAAAATGCCACGGCCGCTAAGCCCTGCGGCATTGGCGCGTATAGAAAACGCGGTGAGGGACCACCCCCTGCGCACCCCCTCTGGTGTCAAGAAAATGCCGCGCCTGCTAGGCTCTGTGACATGGGCGCGCATAGAGACCGCGCTGAGGGACCACCCCCTGCGAACCGCCTCTGGTGTCGAGAAAGTGCTACGCCTGCTAGGCCCTGCGACATTGGCGCGTATAGAGACCGCGCTGAGGGACCACCCCCTACGCACCCCGATCTGGTGTTGAGAAATGCCACGCCTCCTAAGCCCTGCGGCATTGGCGCGTATAGAAAACGCGGTGAGGGACCACCCCCTGCGCACCCCCTTCTGGTGTCAAGAAAATGCCACGCCTGTTAGGCCCTGTGACATGGGCGCGTATAGAGACCGCGCTGAGGGACAACTCCCTGCGCACCGCCTCTGGTGTCGAAAAAGTGCTACGCCTGCTAGGCCCTGCGACATTGGCGCGTATAGAGACCGCGCTGAGGGACCACCCCTGCGCACCCCCATTGGCGTCGAGAAAATGCCACGCCTGCTAGACCCTGGGCGCGTATAGAGACCGCGGTGAGGGACCACCCCCTGCGCACCCCCATCTGGTGTCGAGAAAATGCCACGCCCGCTAAGCCCTGCGTCATTGGCGCGTATGGAAACCGCGGTGCGGGACCACCCCCTGCGCACCCCCTTTGGCGTCGAGAAAGTGCCACGCCTGCTGGGTCCTGCGACGTTGGCGCGTACAGGGACCGCGGTGCGGGACCACCCCCTGCGCACCCCGATCTGGTGTCGAGATAATGCCACGCCTGCTAGGCCCTGTGACATGGCCGCGTATAGAGACCGTGCTGAGGGACCACCCTCTGCGCACCCCCTCTGGTGTCGAGAAAGTGCTACGCCTGCTATGCCCTGGACGACCGGCTCGGATAGCGACCGCGCTCAAAGACCACCCCCTGCGCACCCCCTCTGGTGACGAGAAAGTGCCACGCCTGCCGTGCCCTGCGCCATGGCCCACATGACATAGGGCCTCCTGCCATGCACTGCGAATCCTACACGCACGTCATGTATATGACATGTAATTCGTACGTGTATGATGCGTGTGCGGCCGTATCGGGACGCGTGCCTCATGTGTGTGTGCCCATGATGCAGTCGTGGGTGTATGATGCAGTGAACACGCCAGGCGTGCACTAGTTTGTTATGGTGTGTGTGTGCGTGTGCGTGTGCGTGTGCGTGTGCGTGTGCGTGTGCGTGTGCGTGTGCGTGTGCGTGTGCGTGTGCGTGTGCGTGTGCGTGTGCGTGTGCGTGTGCGCGTGCGCGTGCGCGTGCGCGTGCGCGTGCGCGTGCGCGTGCGCGTGCGCGTGCGTGCGCGTGCGCGTGTGCGCGTGCGCGTGCGCGTGCGCGTGCGCGTGCGGGTGTGTGTGTGTGTGTGTGCGCGCGCGTGCGTGCTGCGTGCGTGCGTGCGTGCGTGCGTGCGTGCGTGCGTGCGTGGTGCGTGCGTGCGTGCGTGCGTGCGTGCGTGCGTGCGTGCGTGCGTGCGTGCGTGCGTGCGTGCGTGCGTGCGTGCGTGCGTGCGTGCGTGCGTGTGCGTGCGCGTGTGTGTGTGTGTGTGTGTGTGTGTGTGTGTGTGTGTGTGTGTGTGTGTGTGTGTGTGTGTGTGTGTGTGTGTGTGTGTGTGTGTGTGTGTGTGTGTGTGTGTGTGTGTGTGTGTGTGTGTGTGTGTGTGTGTGTGTGTGTGTGTGTGTGTGTGTGTGTGCGAGTGTGTGCTCGCCCACGGCGGCATGAAGAACAGCTGGGAGCAGTACTGCGCTGACCACGCCCTCGCTCAGCGCTACCCGCCCCTGGCGCACCGACAGCAGCTACTAGCCCACGTCGTGCACCTGGGCCAGCAGGCGGTGGAGGCCTGCCCGTGCCTGGCGCGGGAGGCGGCGGCCCCCGGCCTGCACCATGTCCCCAGCCGGCTCCACGAGCCCGTCGCGAAGCAGGCCGCTGCCGACCCTGAAGACGCCAGGGCCCGCGTCCAGACCCTGAAGCTCCCGGCCGCGGGCCCGCCGAACGGCCCCGAGCTGACGGACCGCCCCATTGCGGGCCTCGCTTCCGATCGCGACATTGTCGCCCCGGGCTGCCTGCAGCATGAGGTCATACGGCACTACATCACCCTGGCCCCCCAGCACCACCGGCAGTGGACCACCTGGGCCGCGCAGAAGGCCTCCGAGACGGGGCGCTCGCGGGCGCAGAGCCTGGACCAGAGCAGTTGGGACGCTGAAGCCTGCAACGAGTTCCTTGGCCTGGTCTACGGAGAATCCGTCCCTGACACCTTCTCCCCGCAGGGACAATGGGACGACGACCGCGCCGCCCTCATGCACCTGGTCAGCTTCCTGGAGATGGACGCAGTCAACGGCGGCGGCGATATGGGAGCGCGCTGGGAGCAGCACATCCGCGCCAAGCGGATGAGGCTCGGCCCCTCGCCCCTGGCCTACCCGCGACCGGTGCTGGAGGCCTTCGTGGCGGCCGCCGACGTCAAGGCCCTGGGCAAGGGGTCGCTCACCTACTACCGGCCCAGGACCCTGCCTTCGCAGCCTCTCTGCGCCACGCGCGCTCCCGAGCAGCGCACGGACCCTGCGGCCGCCCCGCAGACAGCGGCGGAGTCGCCACCGCCTACGCCGAGTGACAGCGAACCAGCCTCACACCCGCCCAGGACGCGCCCCACGGCGACCAAGTCCCCGGGGTCCCCGCCGGCCGCGGTCGCAATCCCTGGGTCCGCCCTGGAGCGCACGCGACGCGACCACAACCGACGGCAAGGACGAGTCCCGGACACACCCCTCCTGACCCCCACTCGCCAGATCAAGACCGACGACCCAAACATCGAGAACGGCGACTACGTGGTCATCCGGAGCGACCTCACCGACGCCCGGGCCAGGTGGTTTGCAGGAGCGCAAAGTACCGATTTCCTGTTCCCGCAGCCCCTGGACGGGGCGGTCTTCGGCCCGATCCTCGACGCCCAGTTCCGCGCGGAGGGCGTGCACCGCTTCCTGGTCGTCCAAATAGGCGACGAGTGGCTCGAGATCTGGAGAGCCCGGACCAAGACGCTGCGCGCCGAGATCCTTTGCGGCAAAGCGGCGGGCCGCGCTGCCGACTTCCTCGATAAGGCCCCCGACCAGGCGCAGGCACCGCCGGCGGCAGCGGCCCCAGCCAGCTCCTGGCTCGGCGCCGACCCTGAAACGGCCGACGCGACGCCCGCGGAAGGGGCTCAGCCCAAGTCCAGGCCCGCGTCCTGGCCCCAGTCCCTCGCTCCAGGCGCGGACGCACAGGGCACACAGGAGCAACCGCCGGGCGACCACACCAAGGAGGAGGTCCCTGACTACAGCTCCATGGACCAGGACGAGGCCCAGGCTCAGCGGCTGGCAGAGGCCGCAGGCGCAGTCCACTCGATCTCACCCTCCCCAGACCCTGGAGCCCATCGGCAGGTCCACTTTGACACGGGCCCCCGAAAAGTTCGGCGCAACAGCCCTGACCGTGGCCCTGCCACGCAGCGCCAGGTCCGCTCCACCGGCGAGACTCCGGCGCAGGACGCACCAGCGGCGGCCGACGCCGACACCCGCGCCCCGCGCACACCCCACCGGACTGTGACAGCCGGGGCCGGGCGCACCGCATCCGACCCCCGTCCTCCGCATGGGTGCGGCCGCGGGCGCGGCAAGGGCGGTGAGCCGGGACCCTGGGACCGGTATGAGAGCACGACAGGACGGCGCTCGTCCAGGGACACCAGCGACAGGGAGTGGGCCAGAGAGCGCGACCGCGAGCGAGACCGCGATCGTGACAGGAGCGGAGGTGGGGGCTCCTCGCACCGATGCGACGATCACCGCCACCCTGAGCACAACAGAGACGATCGCCGCCGCCCTGACCACAGCCGCCCCTGAGAAGAGCGCCGCGTCAGGTGGCCGAGGCGCCCGGACGAGACGGCGACCACCCACCTGAAAAGGCTGAAGGGCGAGGGAGGCTTCTGCTTCGCCGCAGCCTGGCACTCCTGGTGTAGGCACGTGGGCCACGACAAGGGCAAGAGCAAGGACACGGTCAAGTTTGACCCATCCTGCTGGCAGCCCAGCATGATCGACCGCTTCCTGGACGACATGGCACGAAGCCGCCACGATGTGGGCACCTGGTCCTCGACTGTGGGCGTCTACATCGACTGGGACCGCGAGAACGCCCTGTTTCAGGAGTTCCAGCGGAAGCGGGAGGTGGCCAAAAGCGAAGGGCGCGGGGACAGACCGTCCCGGAGTTCTGGGTCCGCGGACAACTGGACCAGAATGCAGCGCCCCCGGCGCAGACTTGTCTCGAACGCTCCTGATTGACCTCGCGGCCTTGGGCGCCCTGCCCTGACCACCCCTCCTGTCCCTGGCAAGGTCTCTTGGCGTTCTTCTTCGGGTAATTACGACCTGTTCGTCGCCTTCTACAACGCCTGGCCCTGTCTCCCCTCTTCCCTCCCTCCTTCACACCTGATATTTTAAGGACGGCTATAGTCCCTCCTGATTCCGCAAGTGGTGGGGCCGCCCGGGTGCCGGCGCGGGGTTTCCGCGGCGCTGGCAGGCCAGCCTGGCTGGCCTCTCCCCTTCCTGCCCGCTTCTCCCTTCCCCCGCCAGCTACCCCCCCCCCCTCCCGCCGCCATGGCGGCCGCGCCCGGCACAGCGCGGCTTCGGCCCGGTGCCGGCGCTCGCACGCGCAGGTCCTGTTTCCCTGTACCTGCTCCGGCACCCTGCCGGTCGTCGCAGACGGCAAGTCCCGCACGTCCTGACTGCCGCGCCTCTTGGCTCTGCGGTACTCGTCTCCTGGACCGGTGGCACCATGAACCACTACGGCCCGAAGTCCTTCCTGATACCTGGACGGCGGCACAACGTTGCACTTCGTCTCGTATCGTCCTCTCGTCTTCCCTGATTCCTGATGCAGCTTGGTTGAAAGGCGCGTCATCTCCCGCCGCTGACCCGAGGCTGGTGTTAAACAAACGTTGACGGCAATAACACCTACGGTAGCATTTTGCTCTTCTCCGGTACTTCGCCACCGGGCTCCTGCCGAAGGCGTCCCTTTGCAAGCACTTCGGCTTCGGCACCGCCTGTATCCGAGGCTATGCCTCCTCTCGGCCTCGCTCTGAGGCTCCGCCGCTTCCTCCCTCCTCTTCTTTGCCTAATTCAAGCTTCGCGCGGCCCGCTTAGCTTCGACCGGAAGAGGTGCGCTCTCGACCCGCGGATCAAAAGTGTGCGAGTGTGTGCATGCGTGCGGCTGTATGTAGACGCGTATCTCATGCACGTGCCGTGCAGGTGTTACATGTGGGTGAGGAGAGGAAGAGGGAGGAGGGGAAGAGGGAGGTGAGTGAGCGTCGCGAATGCGACGCGGCAGGGAAGAAAACCATAACCCCACGAAACATGTGGGGAACAATCGAAAACCCGTTTCCGGACGCGGAGGGGGGCCGAACATTTCCCGGACATCACCAGGAGAGAGAGGAGAGTAGTAGGATAGGAGGGATATGAGGGACAGGAGGGATAGGAGGGACAGGAGGGAGAGGAGGGAGGGATAGGAGGGAGGGGAGGGATAGGAGGGATAGGAGGGACAGGAGGTATAGGACGGATAGGAGGGACAGGAGGGGTCGGAAAGATACGAGAGGAGAGGGAGCGAAGGAGCGGGACAGGGTACGAAGGGCGATGGGGTGGGAGAGCAATTACGAAGCATGCGATTGGGAAAGGCAACGGCAAAGGAGGAGAACAGAAGAACAGAGGAGCGGGGGGTCGACTAGCGTCAGGGGCATCCTCTTCTCATCATCCTTCTGATCCGTTCCCTCCCTCCCTCCCTCCCTCCCCTCCTCCTCCCCCTCCTCCTCCCCCTCCTCCTCCTGCTCCTCCTCCTGCTCCTCCTCCTCCCTGTCGCACCCCTAGGCGTGTCGGTAGGGCGGGCTGGGCGTTTCGCGGGGGACTTCCTCACCAGCTATGATCCTCAAGCTGAATGAAAAGTTACACGGGTTTCAAGGATGGATGGCGGGCGGCTTCCAAAATGTGGCTCTCGCCTCAGCGCCACGCCCATTCGTTTCACAAATGGAAGGAGCTTCAGGGATGGAGGGCGGACCGCTTTCAGAACGTGGCTCTCGCCTGAGCGCCGCGCACATGTGTTTGTGTTCGGATGGAGGGCGCTTCGCTTCCAAGATGTGACTATCGTTTCAATGCCGTACACATTCGTGCTGAACATTTGCAACCGCTTTACGGATGGAAGACGATCCGCTTTCAAAATGTGGCTCTCGCTTCAGCGCCAGGCATCTTCGACTTAACAAACTTGCAAGAGCTTCACGGATGGAGGGCGGCTCCTGTTTGAAATGTGGCTCTCGCCTGAGTGCCGCGCAATCGTATTAACAGTTTACAAGAAGTTCAAGGATTCCCATGGCTCCCGTCCTAAAAACGGCGTTTCGGAACGATCTCGGACTGTCAGGGCGCAAAAGCTACGTTGATTCGCGATGTCGAAATCCCAGGAATGGCATTATGGCACGATTCAGGATCACCAAGAAAGGTGATTAACTGCGTTGACGTCCCAGGAATGCTGCTTTGACATAGTTCAGGATTGTCCAACTGTTGTATTCCAACAGGGCACTTCCCTCCGTGAAAATGAACCCTTGCAGGAACCGATGAAGAGGAAACTCGGAAGGAGGACGTATTGAAATATCGTTGATGAATCGTGGGTTTACCATGGTCCCCCATCCAACTCCCCCTCCTCCTCCTCCCTTTCCTCCTCCCCCTCCTCCTCCCACTCTTCTTTCATCGAGACAGGGCGCGGACCAGGCGCGGACCACAGCAGAGCGCCTCGGGAAGGCGAACCTCGGAGTTCGGAGGCAAATCCAAAGTCGCACGGCGCGTCTGTCGGCAGGCTTGGGGGCATCTGCGGCCGACGCCTTTTCCCCAATCTTCCCCGAGCTCGGCAACCATCGCCCCGCCTTTCCTACAGAGGCCAAACAACTGCACAAACATTGGGAAATCCGCGCAGATTGCTTGGATCGGCGCTGGACCCCGTGTCGCGAAGAGCGCGCCAGGGGCGGCGCCCGAGGCGCCGCCAGTGGACTCCCCCTCCTTGGGGTGCCCGCGCGCCACGCTTGCTATATCGCGGTGAGCATTGGACCACCACAAGAGAAAAGTCTGGGGGGGCAGAAACAGACAAGCTGCCTGCGACATCCTCACCGTTTGCTTTGAAAACAAAAGACGCTGGGCACGCAAACAGGCAAACCGTCTCAGAAATCCCCCCAATATGAGCGCGAATCTTGAATGGCGCTCTCCCTTAGAAGTGCTGAAACCAGCGCCTCGCCCGAGACATCCTCAGAATCTCCGCCAAAAGCAAAAAGTGTTGGGCACGCCAACAAGCAAAACGCCTGGGTCATCCCCGCAATCTGAACGCAAATCGAGTGCCCCTACCCCTGGCGGCACCCCCTTGGGATGCCCAAATCCTTCCCGTGTTATACCGCGGTGAGCACTGGACCACAAATCAATATGAGTGGGTCTGAGTCTGAACATGAAAAGCATGTGAGTGAATCCAGATGTGAGCGAGTCCGAGTGTGATTGCATCTGAGCGTAATGAATATGACTGTGAGTGAGGTTGGATATGAGCGAATATGACTGTGAATGAGTCTGATCAGAGTACGAGCGAGTCTGAGTGTGTGAGTCTGAGTATGACTGAGTATGAGTGGGTCTGAGTGTGGGTGGGTCACTCTGGTTGAGGAAGAGAAGGAAGAGAAGGAGGTGACATTATAGGAGCCGTCGAATTAATAACTAACGCCCCATGCTAAGAGATGGGAAACAGAGAAGAAACATAAAGAGAGAGAAGAGAGAGATAGGGAGGAAACGAAATGAGGAAGCCATTGAGGGAGTCAGAGAGAGAGAGAGAGACAAGAGAACCAGGGAAACATTGCGATCCCTTGCCCAGGGGCCCCCGATCATCATTGGAGGGTGGCAGCAGTGGAAGCGGGGGGCAGAAGTTTAAACAAAGGCGAAGTTCGATGGAAGTTCGAAGTGTCTTCCCCCTGGCCTTGGTGAACATTCGGAAGTCCGGGCTGACAGCGCCGAACCCCGCGGCCTCGCGGTGAAAACAATGGAGCGAGCCCAGGGGCGGGCCGTCAACTGGCGGCAGCTGGTAGGGCTCGCACCTGTCCGCCACTTCCTCCTCGAACTCCTGCTCCCCCTCCTCATCCGCCCTCCTCCCCTCCTCTTCCTCCTCCTCCTCCTCCTGCTCCTCCTCCTCCTCCTGCTCCTCCTCCTCCTCCTGCTCCTCCTCCTCCTCTTCCTCCTCCCCCCCTCTCCCCCGCTTTCCTTCTTGCTCCTTGTGGTGCTCTTCCCGTTCCCTCCTTTCATCCCCCCTCTGTCCTGAGCAAACGTGGGTTCTCGGAGGATCGGCTTCGAGGCTTTTGGCTGCTGGGTAGAAGCCCCCTCTCCCAAAGGCGGCCGCGAACGACGAGAACACGCATGGCAACTTTGCCCATAAAGGGGGGAAGGGGGCAACCCACCAGGCACACTCCGCCTTCGAGCAAGCCCAGGAGGTAGAGGAGGAGAAAACGGATTGTACGGATGAGGAGGGGCATGTGAGGAGGGGAGGGCAAGGACGAGGGGGAAGACGAAGACGAGGGCACAGGCAGGCGGACGAGGAGGAAACAAGAGAAGGAAGAAGAGGAGGAGGAGCGATCATATCCCATTACGTGGTGGAGGATGTGGAAGAGGAGGTGGAAGAAAAGTAAAATAATAAAAAAGAGGGGGAGACGGAGAGGGTGGAAGAGGAGCCCGAAAACCGAGGAGCTCCCGAAGGCAAAGGAGAGAATGATAACGACGTGCGAGAAAGCAGGCGGTGCAGCGTAGTAGGGGGGGCGGGGAATACAACTCGAGGGGGGAGCCGGAGTAATGAAAATAAGAATACAGTACTGACACGTACCCAGAAGGCCCCCGGGAAAGACCCCCAAAACGAGACGAACAACGACAGAACTAGCACCACCAGGCGCAACGGAAGGATGGTACGACGAAACGGGCGGCGACGAGGCGGGGGAGCAGGGGCAAGGGAAGGGGGGGCACGAGCGGGAGGACGGGGAGAAAGAGGCGGGGGGCGAGCAGGAGAGAGAGTGGGGGACTGAGGGGAACGGGGAAGGAGGAGGCTGAGGGCGGAAAAGCAGGAGGCAGAAGGGGAAGGCGACGGGGGGAGCGGGAGGGGGTGGAGCGGGAGAAGAAGAGGAAGAGGATCTCCTGCCCTCGGGGCAGCGCGGGCAGGCCGACCACGTCCCTGCGCGAATCTTCGCAAAAGTCTTGGGCAGCTCCTCGCGACACAAGAACTTGACATACTCGTCGTAAAAGTCGTGGTCGTACCCAGCGTCGCGCTAATCAGACCCACCCGCGCGCAAATCTAGGCCACAAATCGCCATCGCGGGACGCCGCAACACTTGCAGCAGCAGCAGCAGCAGCATTCCACTTACATCCCCCGCTTCAGCGCACGCTGCGTTATTGAGAGAGACGCACACACGCGAGGAAATTACGCGACTGGCGCGCACGCTCGCCATCGCCAAAGCACATTGCACCACTCCTGGACCCCCGGCTTCACGACCAATGCACGAAAACCAGACAAGAGCGTCGCCTCAAACGTGCAGAAACGTGGCCCATACCAGCTCGAAAAGGCCGCGCGGTAAGAATCGGTTGGCTGATGCAGCGGGCTTCACCGCCCGCTCCGCACAGACCACGCCGAAAAGCTGCCTCGCCCTCCCGCTCACACCTGGCCGACAGCAAGGCATCCGTTTGTTCCCGTGCCGATCTGCGTGGCGAGGTCTTCGCGCCGCGCGCCACGGGCAGGGAAGACCAGTGGCGAAGACATTGGGATCAGTGGCGCTTTGGGTCTAAGTTCGTGTCGAGGCTACGGCAGGGCTACTGCGGTGCGGATTGGGCACTCAGGCGGCGAGAAGGGCCGGGAGGGAAGGGGGGGAAATCCCGCGGAAGTAATGGAGAAGACACGAGGACGCAGGCCTTGAGCCCCTTGCGGGCAGCGGAGGCCTGGGCAGCAGTTCACGCGGTGGCGGCGACAGCGGGGGCGAGCCTGGCCCGTCATCACCTGCAGATTCTTCGCTCAGTGGGCACCCCGAGCCCCTTGGGGGGAGAGGAGGAGGAGCACGGCGTGGAGGACGAGTTCGTCCCTCCGTACTCCTCGACCCTCTGAATCAGGGGAGGCAGCGGCCGCGGGCCGCCTGTCGAAGAAGTTGCTGCACACATTATTTCCCCAGCGGGGTGCGGGGAAGAGAAGAAGGAGCGACAGCCGCACGCAGAGGCAGCGAGGGCTCACCAAACGGAAAAGCGGACAAGAGGGGTATCGGTAGCTCAGGCCGTAAAATGAAGCTCCTGGATCGCAGGACAAGCAACAGCGAATAATGCAGCCGAGGAGAGAGGAGCAGGAGGGGCGTCATCAGGCAAGAGCAGCGGGCTCAATGGAACGAAGGACAAGAAGTGGGAGTACAGCTCCGAGGCCAGCACGACAGGGAGTAGGATATCCTCCGACTCCGAGGGAGCAGCGTCACGCGACGGGTGCACCTCAAACCCGCTACGAGATCGGGAGGTCCGAAGCATCCTCCACCTGTCGGCCAGGGTAGGCTTGCGCTTAGCTGGCGGGGATAAGGTCTTCATCCCCGCCTGTGGTATCCTCCGAAGCCGACTTCACGAGCGAAAACGAGGCGGAGGCACGACATGGGCTGCTGAGAGTGGCCAGAGCGGTGGGAGAGAACAGTTGTGAGCCGTGCGGAAGAGGCGAGCGGGCCTATGCGTGGGAGCGGCAAAGTGCTGGCGTAGCAATCTCCATGGGAGCGATGGAGCCCTCTCCTGGGCTCAGCCTTATCTGCGCGAGCATCTGAGCAGAGCTGGGAGGCGTCAACGGAACGCGAGAGTCCGGAGCGTCAGCCAATGGGGCCCGAAGCATGAGAGGACGGGGACGAGGACAAAGGAACTACTCGGAGGGCGGCAAGCGAGCAGAGCGATCGAAATCCGGTGAGGCAAGCAAGGCAGCAGCACACAGGCAGGCGGAGCCTGCCACTTATCCTTCAGGCGAGCATCAGGACGAGCCCTGAAAGTCCACGTTTCGCAGCTTTGGGCGCAGACAGTAGCAACGCTGGTGTCACCATATTCTGAATACGGACATCATGGCATGCGTTGTAGGCCACGGCCGTTCCTTCAATCCGCGCGCACGACGGTTTGGAGAGGCCCAATATTTCAGCTAGCATGTTCGGTAAGGCACGTTCCAGAGAAAGATACACAGAAACACACATGCAGGCATAATGAGATAGGCGGTCGGGGCACCTTCGACATCAACAAAAAACAAAGTCACTTGCCCCGTATGTAGAGGATCCGGTAGCTGGTCAGCCATCTGGAGACGCGCGACCTGATCACAGGCATGGCGCAGCTGCAGGGGATAAGAGACAGCAGTGCTTGAATCGCCCCCGCAGTGAACTCGATGAAGAAGGGGCTGCCAGCTGCCGAAATACGCATGACGAGGCGTCCGCCCCGCAGTACCCAGCTCCTCGCGGATGGCGCCAACGCGTGCCTGCATGGACTCGGCGACGCAGGTGCCATGAGCCCCGCCAGCAGGGAGAGGGGGATGCGACCAATGATGCATCCCCAAGCTTGAACCGATCCGGAAGACGCCCAGCAAGAACAGAGAGAGCGGGGCACCATCCTAGAGACCATTGGGCACTCCGAGGTTTCATTGCTTGGTTGCATAACAAGTCGGCGACTGGAGATCTCGATGACGCGGGAATGTCACAAGAGCTGCTCGAGCAAAGGCGGCGTTGCACGCGGGCGGGAGCAGCGGAGCGCTGACGCCGCCCCAAGCAGCAACCGCTGCCCGCCCACGCGCAGGGAGCACGCCCACTGGAGCCAGAGAGACCCGAGCCAGGAGGCCCATCTTATACGGTGGGGGCATTGGATAAGGAAACCTTCGATAAGGAATCCAGGGTCTGGAAGCCAGTGGAACTCCAATCGTGGATTGTCAATGGATATCACCACCGCCCTCATCAGATAAGGAATCCTCCAGGGTCTGAAGCCCCCGGGGCGCATTCCTTAACGAACGCCCCCACCGTACAGGATCAGCCCCGGCGGCAACGGAGCGAACTTGGCCACATGGGACAACGCTGAAACACAGCGGGAACGAGGAGGGATGCCACTGACACTGAGAGGGGCAGCACCAGGCCCGAGGAGCCGGCGCCTCACCGTGGACTTCAGCAGAGGCGCCATCTTCTAAGAGCACTGGGGCCACGGACGGGCCCAGGAAAAAAGGCCCAGGCACGAGAGGTGAGGAGCTATACCGAATGGGAAGCAGCTCGAAGCACGGCGGCGGATGTACTGACGGGCGGCGGTGGCGGCGAGCCCGCCAGAGGACTTCCCAGCAATTGGCGCGACAAAAGATTTAGCGAGCTTGAGCATAAGACTGGCAACCAGTTCCGACGCATGAGTCCCTCCGAAGCACGCGGGAAGATCCCTAGCCTCAAACAACACTGCCCTGATGTCGTCGGCGCACGCGCGTGTAAGACCGCGGCCTTTCCTTTCAAGATGAACCCCGAGATCCACAGAAACAACAGTGGGCCCACAGACGCCGCGGTCCTGAAGGATCAGAGCGAACCCAGAAGACGCGCGGAAGGGCGCCTCGATGAGGCGCAACACCTTGCATGGCCGAGCAAACCACTCAAGCAACCCGAAGACCTCTCGGGGGGGCCTGCAACGACTAAGCAAGATTATGAGGCATTCCGACGAGGGGCCAGGGAACGCCTGGTCGCGATCGAACGAGAGGGGGAGGGGAGCGGGCGCACTTCCATGGCCAGAGGGCGGGCAGAGGCGACTCGACTGAAGCCGTCGACCTCTCAGATGCTGAACCCAAAGCTCCTGCCCGCGACGGGGCCGCGCTGGGGCTCAGTGGCGATGGCCTGGGCGGTAGGGCTTGAGGGGACATTTCGAGGGCACTCGCGAATATCTTGACGTCGGTGCTCCTGAGCCCCAAGACACTAAACTTGTCTGTAGAACGAGGGCACGTTCCAGACTCCTCATCAGACGCCTCCGTATCTTTCGGGAGACGCGCTTGCAATGCAACACTAGCTGAATCAAAAAGGGATCGGTCGCGCAGCGGCCAATCCAGAGTAGAGCATAGGACGCCCGCGCAGACCTCCGACTGAAACCAGGCGGCATCAGGGAGACAGCCCCCCCTTGGTTCCGGGCGACGGGCCATCTCCAAGCAGCCTTCCGAACTCTAGCTTTGCTGCGCGGAGCGAGGCGCAGACCTCGTGGAACCACCAACTGAACATCGACGCACCTCTCGGCGGCAGACGATGCGAATGGATTATTTAAAAAGCCAAGAGGGCCCAGCCCGAAGCCAGAGCGTCGCCCTTGTGAGACGGAAATGGGCCCATGTCCCCGCTGGGCCCAACACCCCCCCACGTCGGACTGGACGGTGCCGAGAGTATGTCGCTCCGAGAAGGGCGGCCATGCACTAGCATGTCCTTCCAATTGCTTTCAATTTTCAACGGGGAAGCGCGCCCACGGGGCGGAGATAGCGACGATGACGGCGGCCTCTCAATCTCTTGTCCCAGTGCCCACACGCGGCCACCATCCGACCATGCGCGAAAAAAATTAGCATCCCGAAGTCGGACTCCATGTAGGTCCACCCCCAGCATATCAGCAGCCCAGATACTTGTGGAAATCAGCAATTTTGCAAGCTGAGCGCCCTGGCGCCAGACAGCTCGAGCACGGCCTCTTGCCACGAGGAGCGCAAGGCCATCGCTGGATGGCCGGTGGATGAAGAGCATGCCCTGGTCTCTCCAGCCGCCTCCCTGAACGCATCGTTGAAGTGCTCCGCCCAAGGAGAGAGACCACTCCCTCAACCCGTAACTTGAAGAAGGGGTCGGCAAAGAGGTGCTTCGGCAGCCGCTGGTCGCGCTGCTGGCAAGCACCACCGTTGGCGATCGTTACTGGCATGGCCACACGATACGAGATCACCGCAGTAGACGGATCACCAGGATTACCAATACTACGAGATTCGAAAAAGAGCTGACACACCATGCATCCGTGACAAAAGATAAAGGACCTGCCAAAACAACTCACGCTGCCGGCGCGCTCCGCGCACTGGGTCGGCGCCGCAGGGGGGGACTCCACGAAGAAGCCTGGAGCCCGTGTCCAGGCACACACTGGTCGGAAGAAGTGGGTAGAACCATAAAGTAGGAAGGCGTTGCAGACCGGGCCCTCGCCCGCCCCCTGAAGACGAAGAAGAACAGAGCACCACTCGATCCTTGAAGCAGGAAGTCGCCTGAAGTAGATTGGGAAATGGGAGGCCAAAACTACTTGCTTTCAACGACCGGCGTGCACTGACAAGAATGCAATGATTACGAGGGCAGCCTGCTTCGGCCTGTGGATCACCAGAGCCCCATCAGCTTCAAAACTCAGACCAAGGCTGGGCGAACGGCGATGTTGCTTAACGGTGGTGTTGGGAACCAAATTGCAGGAAATCGCGAACCACACTTTCCTACAATTCCAACCTGCGAACGGATCGAACGAAAACGACACAGCGAATTGTAGGAAAGCACGAGTTCCCACAATACCGAAACCTACATCGCCGTTACCTACATCGCCGTCAGCCCGTTTACGGTCAGATCACCTTGAGAAAGGAACAAGTATTTAGTCGGCCTGGCGTGTGCTATGGCGCGGGCGTCGGCAATGTGACTGCAGACGCGTTCTACTTGACGATGCGAGAGGCCATGGTTGTGGGCACCAGATCTGACCGTTCGACCGCAGCCCATGCATACATCCACTCGGCGAGCTCTGCAGGGCACCAGAGCAGCACCACGGAGGTATACACGGTCACCAGGAGCAAGTATCGGGAGAATCGCAGCAACACCTACATAACCCTGAGGAGCAGCACGATCATGAGGAGAGAACAGCTGAGCTTACGGATCGGCATCGCAGAACGACGAACGCACAACAGGCTCGGGAGTGACACGCGCAACACAATTTACCCAGTGGTGTCGGTTACAATGCATTTCCGTGAGAGGACACCACCGTCCTGGGCAGACCAAGCCTCCTCAAAAGCTTGTCTCTCGCTTTGGCCACGCCGTACTGCAAGAGCGCCCTCGCGTTCCAAGGCGTAGTCTCAAGAGCCTGAGCGGTACCGCCACTAGGATGCACACTAAGTTGCTGGAGGCCATCAAAAAAACATCGAGGTAGCATCTGGCGGCGCCGTCGCTTCGCTGAGGAGTTGTGAGACCTCGGCGCGAGTGAGCTTGATCTGAAAAATGCCCTCACCATTGAATGCAATCTCGAATGGCTCATCACCCGAGGGCGATTCAAGATTAGAACTATTTACCCAACCAGCATTCGTAATGCCTCCTTCTCGGTCCCCTGAGAACTTGTCAAACAAAATCAGCTTGGAGTTGGTTTACTTCCTGTCTAATCCAAGATGCAGACGACCAGGAGGGCCCCCTTGCACCACCACGTCAAATTTCTCTGATCACCATTATTGCTAAGACGGGAAAAGACCTCACCAGCCTTGCGAGTGGCAAGCCCAGCCGACCCGAAGAACTCGATACCGAAGCGCCTGGCAGGAAAAGGTGAAGTAGCACGAATATGGAACTCGCTGTCCTGGAATCGAATCCAGGCCCATGAAGGAAAGTGGTGAATGATAAGCGAACCGCAGCAAGGCCACACATCTTGGAAGCCATCACCACAACAATCGTGGAGTCATCAACTCGGACAACGGCAGGAGGGGGAGGCAGCAGCCGTTCGGTGCGCTGAGCATCCTGAAGACTGGCACGGATCGACCGAAGTTGTTCCTAAAGCTGCTCAATATGTAGCGCGTGCATGTCAATCTCCTGCGAAGATTGCTGGGAGCGGGCGGCGAGGGAGTCAGTCTGGCTCTGGAAGCGGCGCTGCAAATTGTCCAGCTGGGGACGGATCACGAGGGTGACATCCCGATTAAGGTGTTTGGAACGACCAGCAAGCTGCTTCCTGGCAAAGTCCAACTTGACGAGCATCTCATCACAAGAGAACTGAAGGGACGTGTCGACTATCTTTGACGATCTTGGAAAGTTCACTGCGTAGCATCTCAAACTGAGCAGAGACGTCGGCGGGGACGATGCTGCGAAGGTGGCCCTCGGAGTAAGCAGGCGGGGCAGCGCCAGACTGACCAGCATGACTCCAATTGGGATCATGAGCAGGAGGCGTGTGAGGAGCGTGACCATTGCCATTCGGTGACTGGGGGGCCCGCTGGCCCTTGCGGAGGTACTTCTGGTCGGGTTGGCCTTGGATGTCTGGCTCGTCGTCGGGGAAGGTGGCTGCCTCCTCAAAAGCAGCGGCAAGGCGAGCACAGTCCTCATCGCTGCCCACCGTCGAATCCCAGCAAGCAGCAGAGCCAGCAGAAGCACAAAAAGGCTCCATCTCAGAGCCTGACCAGGTGCGAACGAACCTGAGAGCGGGAGGGCGTAACTTCCCATGTAACTCTAGGATTGGGAAAGAATCGGAAGCTGCCGCTGATCAGCGGTGTCCGTTTGCTGCCCGCGGGACATTGGAAATTTGAGCCAAAACGGCTACGGAAGAGAAGGAGGAGGAGGAGGAGGAAGAATGATGACGAGCGAGCGGACAAAGGAACAGGGCCTCACCGGGAGGAACAAAAAGGATGACGAGCGAGCGGACAACAGAGGAGCAGGGCCTCACCAGGGCTCTGCCTGGCAGCATCTGGGAGGGGGCCCCGGCGGAGGCTGCTCGTGGACCCCAGGGCGCGTTCCCCCGGACCGACTCGGCCTGTTTCGTCCCGGGCCGTCTCTTGACGGCCCTGGGGGGGGGTTCTGGGAGCGCCCTGCGGCGAGAAGCATCCAGGGCCCCCCGAGAAGCAACAATCATTGATTATTTCAAAAAGGTGTTGAGCGATTTGAGCGTTCTCGTATGTTCGGCTCCCCGACCCTCCCAGAGGCCCTAGAGGTTCCCAACATCGCCCCAAGACGGTCCAAGAGGCCCCCAAGAGGGCCCAAGAAAGGCCCAAGAGGGCCCCAAGACGGCCAGAGAGGCACTCCGTCCAGGACCCCCTCTCCTCACGCCGACCACCCTGCCCTCGTCAGTGGGCTCACGGGCCTGCCCTGGAGGCGCGCTCTTTGGCCCAGCACCTCGACTTATATTGCTCCCATGGTACTTCAGGACCACATCCCAGAAATAATTTCGAGCACCCGGAAAAGTGTCGAAAGAGTGTCGGAGCAGTGTCGAAACAGTGTCGGACGAGTGCCTCCCAGAGCCCGACACGTGAAAACTCTCGAGTTTCGGTACTTTCTTCTGGTGCTCGAAACTCTTTCTGGTGGTCAAGGCCAAGGCTAAAGTAGGTTGGAACATCATAGAACTCGACGAGAGCCCGGCCGTGGCGACGGGGAGCCTCCAGCACAGCACGCCCGCAGAGAAGAGCGGAGAATGGGCAGGACCTCCGACCTTCGATCCTTATTTGTTTCGATCCTCGATCTCGATATCTCCTCAGTGCTGGCACTGGTTGGCGGCGACACCAGAGCCCCACCCCTACCAACCATCGATCCCCCTGAACCGACGGGAGGCGGGGGATGGGCGCTGGATTTCGATGCGTGCTGGTCGAATTCCGAACCCTACCCCTACGGGGGCGAAGAACACTATCAAATAAGCTGTCCAGCCGCCTGGGGGGCAAGCGTACCCGACGGAGGAAAAGTTTATGCTGTACCCTTCTTCGCCCGCTGACCTATCCCCACCGCCCATCAAGTGAACCGAATCGTTGATCGGCGACGGCAGGGTTCGGATTTCGCCGCCGAATCGGGCTGCCCTCCGCGCACCCCTCCCAGGACGCGGCGGCGCCAGCGGGCGCCCACACCGGCGCGCACGCCATGGCCGGCAGGCCAAAGGCTGTCGGCTGCAGCGTGCCCATCGGGGCGTGGAGGCCCGAGGGCGCCAGCTGGGGCCGTGGAAGCGCCCCGTCGCGCCTCGGCCGTCAGGGTGGTTGCCGCCGCCGTCGCCGTCGCCGTCTTACGACTCCGTCTCCCCCCTCCTCCGCCTCCTCTTCGGTCTCCTGTCCCCGGTCCCCGCCCCCCCGCTCCTCGACCTCCCCCTCCACATCCTCCTGCACCTGCACCTCCTCCTCCCTCTCCTCCGCCTCCTCCTCCTCCTCCTCCTCCTCCTCCTCCTCCTCCTCCTCCTCCTCCTCCACACTTGGATCATATGAATACTACTCTCCTCTCTCCCCTGGTGGCGTCCGGGAAATGGCTGACCCCCCTCCGCGTACCGGTTTTTACACAGAGGCTTCCTGGGAAACGGGATGTCGCTTGGGATCTGTTCGAAAATCTGCTCTCGCTGAAGCGCTGGCTCCATTTTCGGGCTACCGCTCGTTCCGAATCGTGCTCCCGCTGCAGCGCTGGCCTCATTTCCGCGCTTCCGCTCGTTCCGAATCGTGCTCCCGCTGCAGCATTGGCGTCATTATTTCCATCGCAATGCAATGCCTGGTTCTCGATCCTTCCAAATAGACCCCAATATTTTAAAAATGCCCCCCCCCCAAAAAAAACATCATAAGTGATTACACATTCAGTGTCGATTCGTTGATTTCCTTGGCCGCAGAAGCCCCCCCTACTTTGGGGCGTCGCCACGCCATGCTATGTCAGGCTACGCGTCCTTATTTCTGCGCTTCCGCGCTTGTTTTGTTCAAAGTCCTGCTCTCGCTGAGGCGCTGGCCTCATTTTCGGGCTACCGCTCGTTCCGAATCGTGCTCCCGCTGCAGCGCTGGCCTCATTTCCGCGCTTCCGCTCGTTCCGAATCGTGCTCCCGCTGCAGCATTGACGTCATTATTTCCAGCGCCATGCCACGGCATGGTTTCCTATCCTTCCAAATAGACCCCAAAATCTAGAAAATGCCCCCCCCGACGAAAACCTTCGGAAGTAATTACACATTTGGCCTCGATTCGTCGATTTTCTTGGCCGCAGAAGCCGCCCCCACTTTGGAGCGTCGCCACGCCATGCTGTGTCAGGCTACGCGTCCTCATTTCCGCGCTCCCGCGCTTGTTTTGTTTTCAAAATCCTGCTCTCGCTGAAGCGCTGGCCTCATCTTCGGGCTACCGCTCGTTCCGAATCGTGCTCCCGCTGCAGCGCTGGCCTCATTTCCGCGCTTCCGCTCGTTCCGAACCGTGCTCCCCCTGCAGCGCTGGCGTCATTATTTCCAGTACCATGCCACGACATGGTTAGCGGTCCTTCCCCAAAGACTCCAAAAACAAAAAACAAAAAAATGTCTCCCGAAGAAACCATCGGAAGTGATTACACATTCGGTGTCGATTGTTTGATTTGTTGGGCCGCTGAAGCCCCTCCCCTCATTTGGGGGCGTCGCCACTTCATGTTATGTCATGCTACGCGTTGATGTTCAACACCATTCTATGCCATTTAATACTATGCCATACTACGACATCCGATTGAGCGACTAGGGAGACGATCTGCGCTATAGTAAGGGGTGGGAGGGAGGGGAAGGACATCAGATCTGACGCGAGCGCACCTAGCTTGCTCTTTTCCCCCTCCTCCTCCTCCTCCTCCTCCTCCTCCCCCTCCTCCTCCTCCTTCTCCTCCATCCCCGTTCCTTATAGATGACTCCTTCCAATCGCACCCCGAGGCGTGTCGGTAGGGCGGGCAGGGCGTTTCGCCTGAGACTCCCTCACAGCAGATGATTCTGAAGCATACAAGTTGCAACAGACTCACGGGTGGAAGGCGTGCGGATGGAGGGAGGCCAGATTCAAACATGTGGCTCTCACCGCGCACACTCGCTATAACGATGCGCGAAGAGCTTCACGGCGCGAGAGGGGGGGGGGGGGGCATTTTCAAAGGGTGACTCTCGCCTCATCGCCGCGCACAGTTGCCTTAAAGCTTACGGAAGCTCCACAAATGGACGGCGGGCGATTTCCAAAACGTGGATCTCGCATCCGCCTTTAGAAGTGTGCAAGTGCTTCACGAAGGGAGGGCGGCTTCTTTCAAACTGTGGCGCTCGCCTCTGCGCCGCGCACATTCGTCTTAAGAGTTCGCAAGAGTCTCACGGATGGAGGACGGGCTGCTTTTTAAGATGGGACGTTCGCCTCAGCGCCGCGCACACTCGTCGTAAAAGTCCCACCAGCCATCTGGGCGTAGGTGGTTGAACGAGTTTCGCCTTCTCGCTGCCAAAATCCCGCCTCCCCCTGTTCGGGGGGGGGGATTTACTGATTCCCCCTACCCCCTCCCTTGGCCTGGGAGGAGGGGAGGGCACGGGCATATATAGCGTCCAAGATGACCCAAGATGGCCCAAGGAGGGCCTCAGCGAGCCCAAGATGGCCTCCATGATGGCTCAAGACACCTCAAGATGGCCCAATATAGCCTCCGACAAGCATCCAAGACGCCCCGAGACGGCCCCAAGACGGTTTCAAGTGCCCACCGAGCTCTCCGAGGACCCCCCCCCGAAGAGGCCAAAATGGCTCCAAAACCTTAGGGAAAGCAATGATGTTTGCCGTCTGGCCGTTTCGTTTCCGATGGACTCTTGAGGCCTTACGATGAGAGAGACGATGGGGGAGCCCCAAGAGGGGCCCAAGAGGGCCCCCAGGGGGGCCCAAGAGCGCCCAAAAGCGCTCCCAGAGCGCCCAAGAGAGCATCCGAGGGGGGGGGGGAGGGGCTGAATTTCCACGCGCACACACACACACACACCTGTTTGAGCCATGGGGGCAACAGACCTCTCAGACCCCCCGGACGAGCCTGAAGAGGGCCCCAAGAGAGCCCCAGGAGGGCCTCAATAGTGCACCAGGAGGCACCGCGAGGACCCCAAGAGAGCCTCAAGATGGCTCCAAGAGACCTCCGAGGAAACGCTGCGAAGGCGGTTGTTACACTGCACGCGTCTGAACTTCCCTGGTCAAGGTATCTCGCTTGGCGAGTCTGCTTCTAGATGGGCTGGAGGGGATACGCGAAGCGTCAATTGCAAAATCTTCCCAGGTCTAGCTATCGCCTCAGCGCCGCGCTAAGATGTTACAGCAGCTTCTAGAGTTCCTGCGGTTAATAACGTCCAAGATCTGTTGTTCTGGTACGATGTACGACTGTCGGGTGGAAACTGGCATTATGACTCGCGGTGTTGAATTCCCAGGTAACGCGTTCTGGCGTAATTCAGAATCGCCTGGGCTCAACCATAACGCTCATTCGCAGTGATAAAATGGTGCACTGGCGTGGCTCAAGATGTTCAGACGGCTCTCTCCGACGGGGTACTTCCAGCAGTGATAATAAACTCTGGTAGGAACGTATGAAGCGGGAACTTGGAGGGAGTATTGGTTGCAAGCTCATTGACGCGCACTGGGTTTACACTGGTCCTCCTCATCCTCCTGCTCTTCTTTCTCCACTTCCTCCTGCTGCACCTCCTCATCCTACTCCTGGCCCCCTCCTCCTCCTCCTTCTCCTGCCCCTGGTTCTGCACCTCCTCCTCCTCCTCCTCCTACTCCGCCTCTTTCTTCTCATGCACCTCCTCCTCATCCTCCTCATCCACCTGCACCTCCTCCTCCACTTCCTGCTCCTCCACTCCTCCTCCTTATAGATAGTTCCCCCCCGTCCCGAGACGTGTTCTTTGGGCGGGCCGGGCGTTTCGCCCGAGACTTCCTAACACTATATAATTTTAGAGCTTAATACTTGCAACAGCTTCACGGATGGAGAGCGCAGTCGCAGTAGCGCCGCGCACATGAGTCAACACGGATGGAGTCCAGATCCTTTTCAGAATGTGGCTCTTTCCTTAGCTCCGCGCACAGTCGTCTTACAACGTGTGCAAGGGCTTCACGGAGGGAGGCGGGTCCTTGTCAAAATGTGGTTCTCGCCTCAGCGCCGTGCACATTCGTTTCAACCATTTGCAAGAACTCCACGGATGGCGGTTCCTTTTCAACATGTGGCTCTCGCAATAGCGCCGCGCTAATCCGACGGATGGAGGGCGGATCCTTTTTCAAACTGTGGTTCTAACCCGAGCCCCGTGCGCATCCGTCCGAAAGGCTTGAAAGGACTTCACGGACGGAGGGCAGCTTCGTTTCACGAAGTGGTTCTCGCCGTAGCGTCGCGCACTTTCGTTGTACAGGTTTGCAAAAGCTTCGCGGATGGACGGCAATTCCTTTTCGAAATGCGGTTCTCTCCGTAGCCCCGCGCACATTCACCTGGCAAGCCCGAAAGAGTTTCACGGATGGAAGGCGGGTTCTTTTCAAAATGTGGCTCTCGCCCCAGCGCCACGCACATCCGTCCTGAAAGGGTACACGGGCTTCCTGGATGGAGGGCTGCTCGTTTTCAAAATGCGGTTATCGCTTTTGAGCCGCGCAGTTTCGCATGGAAAGTACACAACCGTTTAACGGATGCTTCTGGCTGACGTCCCAGAAGCGGTGTTCTGACTCGGTTGGGGATCTTCAGGGCGCAACAGTCATGCTGATTCGCAGTGCTGAGGTCCTCGGACAAGTGTTCTGGCACGGTGCAGGAACGTCAGGACGCAACACTAACGTTCACTCGTGGCGCTGACGCCTCAGGAGAAGATTATCAGCCTGCTCTCGTCCGAAGGGGCATTTCCAGCAGTGAACTAGGGACCTATGAAGAGGGAGTTCGGAGGGAGGATGTATTGCAACATCACCGTCACCACCAACATCACCACCAACAACGACAGCAGCAGCAGCATCATGATCATGACCAGCAGCAGCAACATCATCATCGATAAAAGTTGCATCAGCACCAGCAGCAGCAGCATCCTCATCATCATCCTCATCCTCATCATCATCCTCATCATCATCAGCATCATCATCATCATCATCACCATCACCATCACCATCACCATCACCATCACCATCACCATCATCATCATCATCATCATCATCATCATCATCAGCATCATCATCATCATCGCCATCACCATCACCATCACAACCACCACCATCATCAACAGCACTAGCATCGTAATCAGCATGCGCATAATGATGATCAGCATCGCCGTCGTCATCGTCATCATCATCAGCAGCATCATCATCAGCATCATCATCATCATCATCAACATCATCATCATCGTCATCATCATCAGCATCATCATCATTAGCAGCAGCATCGTCAACGTCATCATCACCACCTTCATAAGCAGCATGACCATCACACTCGTCATCCTCGCCATCAGCAGCATCATCATCGCCAGCACAATCATCAACATCATCAGCATCATCAACAGCAATCATCGTCATCAATCCCATCATCATCATAATCACCATCATCATCAGCATCATCATCAGAATCATCAGCATCATCAGCACCAGCATCATCATCATGAGCCGCAGCATCATCATCATCAGCAGCATCATCGTCGTCATCATCGTCGTCACCATCACCGTCATCATCAACAGCAGCATCGTCGTCGGCATCGTCATCGTTACCATCATCATCATCGACAGCAGCATCATCGTCATCATCGTCAGCATCATCATCATCATCATCATCAGCAGCATCAGCATCATCATCATCATCATCATCATCAGCATCATCATCATCATCATAATGAGCATCGTCATCACCTCCATCATCAGCATCACCAGCATCATCGGAATCGTTGAGATCAACATCATCCGCAAAATCATGAGTCAGAAGCAGACTATCCATCCGTATGATCATCATCAACAGCATGAGCATCAACATCATGATGATCATCATCATCAACATCATCATCATCATCAGCAGCAGCAGCAGCAGCATCAGCCGGCATGATCACCATCACCATGATTACCATCATCATGATCATCACCATGCTCATCATACTCATCATCGTCATCATCAGCATCATTGTCATGCTCATCCTCCTCATCAGCATCATAAGCATCATCATCCTCATCGTCGGGCACCGATCCAAGCGCAGCCGAGCCCCGACTGGGTCCTTCTGGGGCAGAGACGGGAAGGGCGCCGAGGGCGCCGCGGGGCCGTCCTGGTGAGCCGAGGGGGCGGGTCCGTGGGCGCAGCGGGTGGGGAGGGGGGGGCGGGGCGGGAGGGGGACGCTGACATCGGATAGTGCTCCTCACATCGCACGTACGGTGGCAGCGCTATCAGCGTAACGCCCCCGCCTCCCTCCTCACACGCCTCCTTTCTCTATCGCTCACACGCAGGCTCACCCACACCCATACTCACACTCAGACTCACTCTCGAATACAGACCCCTCACACTCAGAGTCACTACACCCTGGCTCACTCACACTCACTTAATCACATTCATCTCACTCTTAATCAAATCCGTTCGTAACCATGGTGGCTCATATTCCGTCCAATCATACTCAAATCCGCTCTGATTGTGACCCCCTGCGCTCAGACTCCGGCACACCCATGTCGATGTATACACAGACCCGATCATACTCAGACTAACTCATACCCAGACCGCTAACACTCAGGTCCACTCATACTCAGATGCGCCCATACTGACGCTCACAAGCACGAGAACTACCCACACCCTGACCATTCACAATCGGACCACTCAAACTCAGAATGGCGCACACTCAGGCTTAGCACAGTCTGTCACGCATCCACTCAAAATCGCTTCCCGTCCTCAGACTCACTCATGACCACCGCGATACAGCAGGCATACCACTCGGACACTCCGAAGGGGGAACCGCCAGCGGGTTGTTACAGTTGCCCGTTCGCGCCCAGATCGCGGAGATGTCTCGGACGAAACGCTCGTTTTCGCCCCCACACCCCCGAGCCTTCTCCTTTCAGAGCCCCATGATCACTGCGATGTAGCAGGCAAAGCACATGGGCATCCCAAGGGAGAGCCGCCAGGGGATGCTGCAAGTGCCAGGTCGCGCCTAGATTGCGGTGATGCTTCGAGCGGAACGCTTAGTTGGCCCCCCCAAGAGGAGGACTCATCTCCTGCCAGAGCCCCAGGATAAGCGTGATGTAGCAGGCATAGCACTCGGGTACCCCAAAGGGGGAGCCGCAGGGGGGGTTCAACTTGCCCGTTCGCGCCCAGATTGCGGGGATGCTTCGAGCGACATGTTCATGTGCCCTCCCCCCCCCGCCAGACCCCTCTCCCATTCAGAGCCCCACGATCACTGCGACGTAGCAGGCATAGCACTCGGGCACCCCAAAAAGGGAGCCGCCAGGGGGGTCTTACACGTGCCCGTTCGCGCTCTGATTGCGGGGATGCCTCGAGCGAGATGTTCCCGTGCCCCCCCCTGGCCCCTCTCCTTTCAGAGCCCCGCCTGGGCATCTCGAGGGGGATCCGCAGAGTTCGGGTGCTGCTAGAAGTGCCCGTGGCCAAGGTGTCCCCAGGATTTCCAAGGAGACCCCCACGGCCTCCAAACGCCTTGGGTCAGGGGCACCTTCAGCAACCCCCGAACGGCATCATGCCCAGACCCACTTACGATCAGACCCGGCTTCGAGGGAGAACGAAAAGGACGAGGAATGGCGGAGAGGGGTGCGCACCCCACCTGACCCGGCCAGATCCCCACCACTCCCGGGCCACACACGTGTTCATTCCTCGCGTTCCCCCCATCCCTCCCCGAACCCCACTCGCCCTGCCAACCCTTCCTGCTCATCGTCCCCTTCCCTTCTCGTGCTTCGCTTCCTCATCAGCCCACTCCTCCCGATCCTGAAAGCACCTCTGCGTTTCATAACGCCACCTAGAACCCCCCTAGAGCCCCTCCTAGAATCTCGAAGAAGCAAACTCTGTCCATACCTCAGTCCGTCCGCTCCTCCCACCATGTATCCCCAGTTCCCTTCCCCGTCGCCACCCCAATCCCCCCATCCGCGTCCCCCCCTTCTCCTCCCTCCCCCTCCCCCTTCTGCTCCACCCCGTCCCCTCGCCACCACGACCAGACCTCCCACTCACCCACCCAGTTCCCCAACAACAAGTTCCATGCAACGTCCCAAGCCCTTACTAAACATGTGCTGACTAACTACACTCAAAACTTATGCTAAGAAATCTTCCAGTAAGAAATTGAGACCCAGCTTCGCTGAATTTCTTAGCCCCCTTGCGAGAGCCAGCTTTGAAACGTGCAATTTTTTAGCGCAGCGCGACGCCACCGTGGGTGGTTCCGATGAAGATTGTGCCGGTGATTGTGCCGATTGCGGCGCCGGGGGCTCTGCAGCAAACAACATACAGGAACGCGCCAAGATCTGGGCGCGGATCTGGGTGGTGATCTGGGAGAATATCTGGGGGAACAGCCAGAGCAAAATCCGGGAGGCGATCGATGGAAATCTGTAAGAATATCTGGGGGAAGATGTGGAGGAAGATCTGGAGAAAGATCTGCAGGAACATATGGAGGGAGATCTGGGGGAGTACGTGGCTGAACACACGGGGGGAACAAGCTAGAGGAAAATCTCGATTAAGATCTGGAGGAAGATCTGGACCAAGATCTGGGGGAAGATCTGGAGGAAGATCTCGAGGAACCTCTGGAGGAAGATCTGGAGGAAAATCTGGAGGAAGATCTGGAAGAAGATCTGGATGAAGATCTGGAGGAAGATCTGGAGGAATATCTGGAGGAAGAGTTCTGGAGGAAGATCTGGAGGAAGATCTGGAGGAAGATCTGGAGGAAGATCTGGAGGAAGATCTGGGGGAAGATCTGGAGGAAGATCTGGAGGAAGATCTGGAGGAAGATCTGGAGCAAGATCTGGGGGAAGATCTGGAGGAAGATCTGGAGGAAGATCTGGAGAAAGATCTGGAGAAAGATCTGGAGGAAGATCTGGAGGAAGATCTGGAGGAAGATCTCGAGGAAAATATGGAAGAAGATCTAGAGGAAGATTTCTGGAGGAAGATCCGGAGGAAGAGTTGGAGGAAGATCTGGAGGAAGATCTCGAGGAACCTCTGGAGGAAGATCTGGAGGAAAATCTGGAGGAAGATCTGGGGGAAGACGGAAGTGGATATGGGAGAAGATCTGAAACGACGATCTAAAAGAAGATCTAAAAGAAGATATTAGGATTCACGAGAAGGAAGATCTGGAGGAAGATCGGACGAGATGTGTGAAGATATTGATGAGGATCTGCGGGGAGATCTAGAAAGAAAGATCATGATAGCTGGAGGAAGATCTGGAGGAAGATCTGGAGGAAGATCTGGACAGATCTAGAGGAAGATCTGGAGGAAGATCTGGAGGAAGATCTCGAGGAACCTATGGAGGAAGATCTGGAGGAAGATCTGGAGGAAAAGTTCTGGAGGAAGATCTGGAGGAAGAGTTCTGGAGGAACATCCGGAGGAAGATCTGGAGGAAGATCTGGAGGAAGATCTGGAGGAAGATCTGGAGGAAGATCTGGAGGAAGATCTGGAGGATGATCTGGAGGAAGATCTGGAGGAAGATCTCGATGAAGATCTGGAGGAAGATCTGGAGGAAGGTCTGGATGAAGATCCGATTGAATCCAGGGAGAAGATCTGGGTGAAGATCTGGGGGGGAAGATCTGGAGGAAGATATGATGGAGGAAGATCTGGGAGGAAGATCTGTGATGAAGATCTGAGAGGAAGATCTGGGAGGAAGATCTGGGAGGAAGATCTGGGTGAAGATCTGGGTGAATATCTGGGAGGAAGATCTGGAGGGAAGATCTGGTGAAGATCTGGGAGGGAGATCTGGAGGAAGATCTGGAAGAAGATATGATGGTTATGCTGGTGGCTCTGTCGGTGGTGGTTGCGCTGGTCTCTGTGCTGTCGGTCGTGCTGCTCGTTTTGATGGTGGTTTCGCTGGTGACGATTTTGCTGGTGATGGCGCTGCTAGTTGCGATAGTGGTTGCGTTCGTGGTGGTGGTGGTTGCGATGGTATTTCTGCCACTAGTTTTGCTGGGGAGGCGGATGGTGGTTTGGCTGGGGATTCTGCTGGCACGCTGGCGGAGGAAACACCCAGTGGATAAAGTGCTGGTGCGTTGGCGGAGATTTCGAATAAATTTCTTTGTTGCTACTTGCCCCGGTGGTTTTGCTGGACATGTTGCTGGTGGTCGCGCTGTTCATTTTGCTGGTGATTCTGCTGGTCTGGAGGAAGATCCGGAGGAAGATCAGGAGGAAGATCTGGAGGAAGATCTGGGGGAAGATTTGGAGGAAGTTTTGGGGGAAGATCTGGAGGAAGATCTGGAGGAAGATCTGGGAGGAAGATCTGGATAGAGATCTGGAGGAAGATCTGGAGGAAGATCTGGAGGAAGATCTTGTGGAAGATCTGGAGGAAGATCTGGAGGAAGATCTGGAGGAAGATCTGGAGGAAGATTTGGAGGAAGATCTGGAGGAAGATCTGGAGGATGATCTGGAGGAAGATCTGGAGGAAGATCTGGAGGAAGATCTGGCGGAAGATCTGGAGGAAGATCTGGCGGAAGATCTGGAGAAAGATCAAGGGAAAGATCTGGTGAAAGAGCTGCGTGGCGACCCGGAAGGAGATCGGGAGTAAGATCAGAGAGGAAATCTGAAGGAAGATCTGGTGCAAGATCTGGGGGAAGATCCAGGGGAAGATCTGGGAGAAAACCTGAAGGAAGATCAAGGGAAAGATCTAGGGGAAGATCTCTATGAAGATCTGGGGGGAGATCTAGGGAGGGATTGATCTGGGCGAGGATCTGAAGGAAGATCTGGGCGGAGATCTCGGAGAGGACTTGGGCGAAGATCTGGGGGAAACTCTCGGAGAGAATACAGAAGAAGATCGGGAAGAATATCTGAGGGAAGACCCAGAGGAAGATCTCGACGAAGATCTGGAAGAAGATCCCGAAGATCTGGAGGAAGATCAGTAAGAAGATGCCGGCGTTAAGAAACTGAGCCAGCTTTTGGGAATTCGTTATCGGATTTTACGAAAATTTGAGACCCAGCTTGGCGGGAGGGAGTTTCTTAACATAAGATATGAGTGTATGCCAAGGACCGCTCACTACAAACGAACATGTTGAAAGAATCGCTGTGCGCAGCAGCAACCAGAGAGGTGATATTACCTCTCGGCTGGGTCTGCGTACCACTCCACTCCGCGGGACCACTTAGGAACCCACGAAAATTGCAACAATTGCGCAGTTTGCAGCCCCCCAGACAACCGCGAGGTCTCGGCTGGGTCTGCGTGGCCCCACACTCCGCGAGCCCCCCCAGAAGCCAAGGAAAAGAGCAACAGTTGCGCACTTCGCAGCCTCCCAGGGAACCGCGAGGTATCGGCTGGGCCTGCGTACAGCTCTCCACGCCGCTGGGCCTCCCAGGAGCCCACGAACGTGGCGACAATTGCACAGCTCGCAGCCGCCCAGGGAGCCGGGAGGTCTCTGCTGGGTGCGCGCAGCCCTCCACGCCGCTGGGCCTCCCAGGAGCCCACGAAAGCGGCGACAGTTGCGCGCTTCGCAGCCCCACAGGGATCCGAGAAAGGGATGAAGAGGAGGCAGGAAGAGGAGGAAGGAGGAGAAGGAGGAGGAGGAGCAGCAGCAGCAGCAGGAGGACGAGAAGGAGGACGATAAGGAGGGGGAGGCAGGAGAAGGAGGAGGATGCGGGAAGTAAGGACACAGTGGAGACTACAGCGCTCTATCCAAAACGAGAACCAAATACAGGAGGTAACAATGACTTGCTTGGTCGGCAGCGACTTGGATCCAAGCTGCGGTCGCGGCTACGACAGGGCTGCTGCGGTGTGAATTGGGCACTACGCGCGGCGGCGAGGAAGGGCGGGAGGGAAGGGGGGAGAGGGCTTCGGTCGGCCAGAGCGCCCTCAGAGTGTGAAGCACTTCGGGATTGTGCTGGAGGAGCAGCGAAAAGACTGCTCGCTACCGTCGCTGCCGCCGCCGCCGCCATCGTCGTCATCGTCGTCGCCGTCGTCGCCGCCGCCGCCGTCGTCGGCGTCGTCGTCGGCTCTCCTGGCTCGCCGTCGGGGTGCTCAGGGCCGCCAGCTCGGCGTCGAACCCCGAGAGGCAGCAGCCCCGCTCGGCGCCAGCGTCCTCGCGGGCAGCAGGGAGGGCCCCCTGCTCCTCCTGAGAGCCCCTCCTCCTCCTCCTCCTCCCCATACAATTCCTCACCCTGCTTCTGCTTCTGCTTCTGCTCCTGCTCCTCCTCCTCCTCCTCCTCCTTCATCATCCGCCTCCTCCTCCTCCACCTCCTCGTCCTTCTCCTCCTCCTCCTCCGCCTCCTCCACCTCATCCTCCTCCTCCTTCTCCGCCTCAGGTTCCTCCTCCTCTTCCTCCTCCTCCTCCTCTTCCTTCTCCTGCTCCGCCTCCGCCTGGCTTCGTCGACCGCACCATGTGACTGCAGTTCATTTGCCAACGGTACGAGGCGAAAGTGCTCTTGCAGGCGATCTCAAGGATATCTTAGTGGCGCATTGGGGTCTCGAAGGCGAAGTAGGCATCACCCTGTCGTTGTTGACCTGGACAATGGTCCAGGGTTGAGGTGAGGAGAATCAACACGGCCAAGATGAAGCAGCTGGCCCAACTAATCACGAATATTTCCACGACGTGGGCTGCGATCGGAGAATGGAACTTACCCCACAAGAATGCTTGCAGTCACCGTGGGCAGCCAAGTTACAGGCGCAACTGGTGGTACCAACATGCGTGACGGCAACCTGCTCCAGGGGCAAGGGCAGGGCCCTCGACTACCTCATCTGCCCTCCCTCCTTCAGGCCCTGCAAGGACTCAGGCCTGTGGACCACCAAGTACCACATAAAGAGGTCCAGACTGACCAAGGCCTCAAACGCAAGCAGCGTGACACCGAGAAGTACAAGAAGATGCTGAGCGGCCAGGGGCAACATGAAGGAGGTGAAGACCGGGACATCACGGAGGATAAGCAGGCCCTGCAGGCAGAAAAGACTGCGATGGAGGACTTGCTGAAGCCAACGTACACCAAGGAGGTGCTCAAAAAAGAGAAGGAGACTGGGCAAGAACTATGAAAGCAAGTCAAAACTTGCGAACTACCTGCGACAAATCAGACAACGAGAACCAGCATGGCATACTGCATCACGGAGGCTAACTCCCAGAAGCTAGGGGGCCAGTACTTGAAGTGGGCGCAGGCGGGGGGGCATGTCTCTAGCTAACTTGTGTGGTACGGCGAAGGACACCAAGATCGCTCGAGGGTTTCCAGCTCGTTGTCGGTATCGCAAGATCGCAGAGAGACTGCCAAGCTGAAGTGCAACGTGGAACGGGCACGTCATGACATGTGGACGGCTCTGGAGCTCTACTAAGACACCTTGGACTGCAGGCAGTGAAGCTAGCCGAGCAGACTTCAAGGAGCTCATCGAGGACCAAATAAATCACAACAGTGGAGAGCATGCAGTACCCGTCGATGCCCGCGACGTCCGTCCACTTGCTTCGGAAGGGTGAGAACGATGATGGTTGGGCCTTGGATGTTCTTCGCAAAATAGAGCTGAAGGTAACGCATGCTCTCTGTAAGGAGGCGCTGCATCTGATTTGTGAACGAGCGGAGAGACACGACAAGAGGGCATGTCAGCAGGCGAAGGTCAGCATTCACAAATGGGCAAAGAAAACGTTGGATGGCGACAGACAGGAGGCGCACCAATACGGCCAGAGTCATTATCATTACCTGAACTACGCCTGGACCATGCTGGAATAATAATACTACCAGCCCCACCGCAAGCGGTGGAAGCACGACCACAGCAAAGGATGGCGCGATGGACCAAACTAGACGAGCCGGAGGAGTTGGTAGGAGAGCTTATCACACTGTTCCTAAGCCCTGCAGGAACTCATGAAGATGGCGCCCCGAGAAACACCCCGAATGCGTTGGGACAAGGCGCAGGCATGAAGCACGACAGCAGGAGCACGACAAGAACTCGTGGATCTGCTCAACCAGTCGGAGCAGGCACTCGCATGGCCGCACCAATGTCTGCATGTATGGCGTGAGCCACTGCGCAAGGGCGACAACGTCACAGCAGGAGACGCGAGGCCAAGTGGATTAGTACCCTTATCGATTCGGCTGCGGGGGGCGCATGCGGCTAAGAGAGACGACACTCTGGAGCACCACCAGAGCGGCATTTTGGGGACGCAGAGGTGGCAAAGTCGTCGGCCCTGCAGGCAGCCCTCTTCAACATGGCATATGGACGAGAGCAGCACAAGACATGGGAATCCAGCATGGGGCTCCGTATACTTGGAGATCAAGAAGTTCTACGATTCTATCAGTGTCAAGCTGCTGGTTTCGCGTGCTCGGGATCTTGACTTTCCAGCGGTTGAACTGTATCTCAACTGCGTGACGTACCTGGCACCGAGAGTGGTACGAGCTGCGGGTGCTTATGCTCCAGCCATCACACCAACGAACACCATAGTGCTAGGGTGCTTAAGTGCGAACAATGCGGCAAGGGCCCTCCTCTACACGGTGCTGGAGAGGGCTCGCAGGAGTACCTGATACATTGCCTCGCCAAAACGTGGGCGATGTGACAGCAGGACCGGATGGCAGCTACACCAAAGTCAAGAAAGACCTGGTCAAGGTGAAAGTAGAGATCGCGAGAGGCTGTATGGAACGCCACAAGGAGATGTCAGCCAAGTCATGTCGGTGATCATGGCCTCTCACCCGAGCATAGGGGCGGCGGTCACCAAGACCCTGAAGCGGTGGGGGTCAACATCGCCACGGTCACCTACGCCAAGGACCTGGGCATAGACATGACCAGGGGAATAAGGAGGAGACGACCAACGGCCATCAAGCAAAAGGCAGTTGTCAGGAATAGAATAATTAGAGTTACAGAATTCAGACGAGCAGGCTGGCGAAGGCGCAAGCTGGTGCAGCTCAGCGTCACCAGCGTGAGTGCCAAGTCTAACAACGATGTCACAGCCGTGGACATGCCGTCGCCGGGGGACGTCAAGAGAGCTAGAGCAGAAGCTGCAGGCATTCTTGGATACACAGCGGGAGGGCGAAGTACGTCAATGGTCATGCTGCTTCATTTCCTCGAGCGGGACCCCAAGACAGCAGGACGTTCCCAACAGGTTACCGCGGGAATCAAGTTGTGGAAGGCATACGCCAAGTACCACACACAGCCAACCACGAGCTGGATGGCATGCAACATTACGTCGCCTACAAGCTGCAAGGCCCAGAGGAAGAAGGAACGTAGTCACGGACCCCATGGCAGCAGTGATATAAAGGTTGTCGGAGCTGGGTTGGAACATTTACGGGACAGACGTGCGGACCGACTCCGGAGGTACTCCGTGGCATATGCAAAATCCGGGGAAACCAGGTTCAGTCGTCGCCTCTATTTTGCCCAGTCAGAGTACTGGCAGCCATTCACATCCTGGAGCTCCAGGTTCATATGTCGCCATGGTTTTGCCCAGTCAGAGTGCAGGCAGCTTCACAGATTCTGGGGATCCAGATTCAGAAGTCACATGCTTTGCCGGGACCGAGGGCTACCACCATCAGCAGTGGAGCGAGCCAGAGCACAGGCAAAGCACAGCGATTTGGGCACCTGGACTTCGACCACAGCGAGGTGCACCCCTATGGAGATGCTAGTCGGGCCTCAACGGCGACCCATCTGCCTGGACATCGGTTGCGTCGTCGACGGTGGGACCCTGGCCCTTCCCTGAAAAGGTTTCGACGACGTCGCAGACGAAACCCGCTCCTGGGCAAGCGCCCCCCAGGAGGGAGGGACCCTGCGGCGCTGAATCGCTGGAGGTTGATGGGCCGAGTACTTCGCCTACGACGAGATCTGGGTCAGGATGTTTGCGGCAGCACTCGGCAATTGCCCCACACGTACGTGGTCAAAGCGATATACGACATACCATTCCTCTGCAAGATGGGACTGGCGGTCTGCAGCCTAGCCACCCAGGACAGAACGCCGGCTTGTTGGACAAACATGTTGGGCAGCGTGACAATCAGGCTACGGGCGCAGACGTGAGGCCCCCCATGCCTAGTGTGGAGAAGCGGCGGCCAGAGGGCACGCCTGCCCGTGCGGAGCATCGGAATCGAGAGCATCCTGAACGAAGTGCTGGCCATGAAGGCCATGCGGACCGTTTAGCACGTGAGGGAGAAGACGACATCAGCGGCATGGTGGCAGTGATCGTGGCGGACGTCTTGCAAGTCGGTGGTGCGCAACACCATGTGGACCCATGCAAGGTGCAAAGCAGCAGGGTATTTCTGTGAGGGGCTCTGCAGAGGTGCACCTCAGGCAGACCTGAGACCGTGGGCCGTAGGGTCTAGGAGTGCCAGCACATGCTGCACACCGACCACACGTGCATCAGGCAGATCAAGAGGCTGCGTGCTGAAGCTGCACAAGCCATCGCCAATGGAGTGAACCTGGAGTTATGAAAGCGTGGCATGCTTCTGAGTACGTGCAGCGAAGCGCCACCACCCCCACCCTGGGGCGACCAGCAGTGACCACACTACCTGGACTGGAAGGGCCCCGACCTGCTGCCAGACTGCACCACCCCGTACCACCAGCGCATCGTCAGCGAGCTGGCCTTCCTGGACGGCTCAGTGTCGTGCACGGATGCGCGGACAGCGCGTGCAGGCTGGAGAGTGTAATTCGAACACAGCGTGTGCAGCAGGCGGAGGAAAATTATCCCGAGGTCCGCCGTCCTGGTGCGTGTGGGGGGATGTCGACGGAGTGCAAACGATGTATGTCGTGTGCTGGGCCCGCGGCCCTCTGGTGGCCCTCTGGTGGGCTCGGCCCCCAGGGCCCGATCTGGGTCTACGCGGACAGCCAGGCTGCGCACGACGGTTGGCACTAAATCTCCGACGTTGCCTCTGGACATCTAAGAGGGCTGGCGAGCTCGAACCAGGAGTGAAGCGGTAGGCAGACGACTGATGGTGAGCACGTGGAATCACTATCTTGACTGCACATCCCTGTTGGCAGGCAAGCAAGCTTTCCATGTTTCGATGGAGCAACAATCTAGCAGGCAAGGATGCCCAGAAAGGTGCTGAGCTAATATTCAAACCCATAGATCCTGAGATGCGGGCCTTAGCAGAGGTTGAGTTCAAGGCCTGGATAATATACCGCAAAATAGCCATTGATAATTCATCCGCCGCCCAAAACGAAAGAAACCGGCACACTTTACCGTGTAAGGTGCCGTGTGCCAATAAGCAATGGCGCGAGAGGAAGCTGCTCGAGAAGTCTTCTGGGCACAGTTTAAACAACGTAGGGGGGGTCCTGTGGGTCTGTTTGCACTGCCGAAAACGGACCTGGCAAGTTTTCTGTCTTGGACTGGCTCCGCCAAAGGTGTCTGGGGGCCCAACTCCACCAAGTCGAGTCGCAGGGGAAACCAGTTCCGCTGCCCCCCCACCACTGTTTGAAGTCCAGAGGAAGGTAGTGCACGGGTCTCGGAATCCTGCGACTATGTTTGGTCAGATGTGACTTTTGTGTTGGAGGTGCGGGTGTCTAGGCTCTAAGGCCCACACTGGAGGTGGCCGACTCGGTGCGGGCATGGTCGATGCATGAAAGCAACACCCTACGCTGACCAAAATTCAAGTAAGAAGGCCGAATAGCCTGACTGGACCCACAAGAAGACGAGGCTCACGAGACGGGCGCCGACCGCCCCAAGGAGATAGCCTGCGGTTTTGTTTTCACCTGTTCACGTAGCAATGAGATATGTAAACTGGTTTGTCACTCGTCTCCTGATGGTCGTCTCCTCCTCCTCTTCCTCCTCCTCCTCCTCGATCCCCCTCCTCCTCCTCCTCCTCCTCCTCCACTTCCTCCTCCTCCTCCTCGCGCGAGGGCCTACCCATGCTGCTGGGGGCCCACCCGTGGCAATGCCCACGTGTGTCACCACTTCAGGGGGTCACGACCACATCCAGAAGACCCAGACGACTTTTCCTGGAGAAGAGGTGACGCGAAACCCGTTCACAGTCAACGAGCAGACCCGGCTGCAGCCTGGGGCATCGGCTGGACTGCGCCAGTGCAGTCTCGAGGACGCCACACGGCTGCACCTGCTAGCCATGCTCGCGTCGCGAAAAAATCACGACGGGAAATTTCTGGTCTGCTTTCGGCCCTTGACAAGCCCTGGGGTCGTCAGAAACGACTCGGGGTGAAAAGCTGGCCATGAGGAGGGCCGGGACCTCTGGGAACCCCGTATTTAAAAGAAACAACAAGACATCGGATGTCTGGGGACGGATTCCCCTGGACCCCCAAAGATCCTACATCATCGATCCTCTCTCCTCCTCGATTCTCTCTCCTACGCGATCCTCAGTCCTCCTCGATCCTCGATCTTCGATCCTCCTCATCTCCTCCTCCTCCTCCTTCTCCTCCTCCTCCTCCTCCTCCTTCTCCTCCTCCTCCTCCTCCTCCTCTTCCTCCTCCTCCTCGATCCTCGATCCTCGATCCTCGATCCTCTCCCCTCTTCGATCCTCGGTGTCCAGGAGAAGGTGGTGACCCCCTGGCGATGACCCCCCTGGTGCCGGGGGCGTCCAAGAAGGGACCGCCCAGGGGATCGCAAATCACGGCCCGAGGCACGTGCGCGGCCAGGTGGGGGAGGCCGGGGGGCGCACCGAAAGACGAAAGTCCTTCTCTGATGAGGGCGGCAGTGATATCCACGGCTAGGCCTCTATTTGTGTTCCACCAGCTTTCAGACCCTGGGTTCCTTATCCAAGGGTTCCTTTTCCAATGCCCCCCCCCACACTAGTCACCCGAATGGCACTGGCCGACTGCCCCCGCCCGCTCCGTCCTGCTCTCCGTCGTGGGGCTGGGCCGGAACGGCGCGCTGGTGGTGGCTGGGCCAGCGGGGCAGGTCGACGTTGCTGCCCGTCGGGTCCGTCTCGGCGCGGAGCAGAGGCGACGCCTGGGCGGGCTCCTCTTTTTGGCAACCCTGGCCAGGGGGCTTTCGCCTGGCAGAAGGCGGGGGCTGCTGAGATGCGAACTGCCAGGGCAGCTGGGACTTAGGTTCGGCACGCCCGCCCTCCGAGGCTTTCGCCCGCTCGGTGGGAAACGCGGGCTGCTGAAATGCGGGCTGCCCTAGCGAACGGGTCGTGTCGGGTTGGGGACGCCCTGGCCCCAGACGCGTTTGCCTCACGAGGGGGCCGAGCTTAGCTGCCCTGATACGTGACACGCGACACGTACCGTACTGATAAGGAGCTCAAAACGTAGACTGAAAACGTAGGTCTGACGCGATACGTTCGCCAAAACGTGGGCCTATACGCTGAGACAACGCGCAACGTATTGACACGGACGCTTTGGGCACGGTACCTGTTGCGATTTCAAACGGGCGTATCGAGGCAGCTAAGGGGTCGAGTGGTGGCACACGGTTTTATGCAGTGGGGTCCACTGGGAGGGGGAGCAGTACGCTGGAAGAGGTATGGAGGCTGGCCTCTCTGCGATCGGAGTCGTCAAAGTGCACGAACGTGTTCTTGATGGGCATATGCTTCGGAACGGGTGCCTTGGTAAGATCGAGCGTCGAAAGATGACCAGCAGCACTGGTCGCAAGCTGAATCGAAATCAGGGTAATGTACTGGACGCCCGCTGACAAGCTGCACCCCAATTGCCGATCCTGGAGAATACAATCGCCTTCGATCGGTTTTTGCTATCAAGATCGCAAGGCAAGCCAACATGCAGTTCCGTCATCACCATGATTGCACGCTTGGGGTTATGGCAGTTGTCACTGCGAGTCACTTGGCGACCGAGTCGGGAAGCATTTAGGAGAAGAGGAAGACAACAAGCAAGAAACGAGGAAGAACTGGGGAAGGCGCGAGATACTAAGCTCACCACGCTGGCACCCGTGCTGCTGCTGGCGCCCTGCAGACCTCCCAGACTGCTCGTGCTCACCCCTGCGCCAGCAGGTCTGATTGTTGTTGTTCGGCCTAGCTCGCCAATGTCGTCGTCCTCATCCTCGTCCTCGTCCTCCTCGGCGTCCTCGTCCTCGTCGCCTTGGTGGTCCACAAAGGGATCCTCGCCCACGCTGCCCAACATCGCCAGCGCGAGGGGACAGATCTCCTCCGAACGATGGCTTTGCGGAGTGCCCCGCCCCTGAAGAGCACGATAGGACGGCCTGGTGGCCCGAAGCGAGCTCCAAGCCAAACAGCAACAAAACCAACAGCAACGAACGCCCTGCTGAAAAAAACACACACTCTCGGTTGAAGAGGAGAAGGAGCATGGGAACGACACCTCTGCACGCACAGCACGGCGCCCTGCGAACAGCAAGAACAAAGCCCACATCATGCGGCATGCGACACACAGTACTCATCAGAACGACGGACCGCGGCACACGAAATGCACAACACACAAACACACACACACACACACAACACATGCGCCCTTGTCAGCGCAATGCGGGGCGCGCAAATACAGATTGCAATCGCACGCATGAGGACCGCGTCTTGGCCGAGGCAGTGTCCTCTCAGGTTGGAGAGCCACATGGACAGATGCGCACACACTTCCCAGCTTCGACACTGCGTACCACGATCGCGTCGCACGCTAGCGGGAGACGCAACACACACTTTGCATCGCGCGCGTAACGAACATGATTGCAATCAGCCATGAGATCACAGGCACGGGGCGCGAGGAGGACAGAAATAGATCAAACCTCTGGCGATGTGAAGCACTAACGCGTCGTAAGCTAGCAGGGACGCAAGAATGAATTTGAACCGCGCGTCATCATTGGGCTTGAGCTCCAGCCGACGCCGTGAACATCACGCGCGAGGGGCAGACCAAAGCAAGTAGGCACAACAACGGAAGCCTGGGCCACGAACGACACATGAAGTGGTAGCCAGCACTGCAGTGGTAGACGCGCAAAAAGAAGATCGAGGATGCCCGAACACACACACACACACAACACACAACACACAACACACAACACACACACACACACACACGCACGCACAAACACACGCAGACACACGCAGACACACACAGACACACACACACACACACACACCGTCACACACACACACACACACCGTCACACACACACCACATGCACACACACACACACGCGCGCACACACATACGCGCGCGCACGCGCACAGACACACACACACACACAGACACACACACACACACACACACACACACACGCGCGCACACACACAGACACACACGCACGCGCGCACACGCGCACACAAGCGCACAGACACACACACACACACACACACACACACACGCGGACACGCAATCACACACACACACACACACACACACACACACACACACGCGCGCGCATCACGCATCACGCAGACACACGGGCACGAAGACACACAGACACACAGCCACACACACAGCCACACACACACAGACACACAGGCACGGAGACACACAGGCACACAGACACACAGACACACAGGCACACAGACACAAAGACACAAAGACACAAAGACACAAGCACACAGACACACAACACACAACACACGACACACAACACACAACACACAACGCACAGACACACAGACACCCAGACACATAGACACACAAGACACGACACAATACAAACAACACACACAACACACAAAACACAACACACAGGCGCACAGACGCACAGACGCACAGACGCAAAGACACACAGCAGACACACAGACACACAGACACACACACACACAACACATAACACACAACACACAACACACAACACACAGCACACAGCACACAACACGCAACACGCAGCACACAACACACAACACACAACGTACAACACACAGACACACAGACACCCAGACACACAGCACACAACACACAACAAACAACAAACAACAAACAACACACAACACACACAAAACACAACACACAGCACACAACACACAGACGCACAAACGCACAGACACACAGACACACAGACACATAGACACACAGACACACAGACACACAAAACACACAAAACACACAAAACACACAACACGCAACACACAACACACAACACACAACACGCAACACACAAAACACAAACACACTTGCCTTCCTCTGGCGATCGGGTCGTCCCGGGTGAGTGGTCCCGGTGATGGGGCAAGATAGCAACAAAAAAAGAAGCGTGGGGTGGAGAAAAGAAACAAGAGTTGCACAAACGGACCGTTTGCCTTAGACTCGACACACCGACAGGGGCACGGGCGAACCGTGCGAGCCTGAGGAAGGAGAGAAGCCCGGACGGGGCCTCCAACTTGAGAAGTCGCGTCGAGGCTGGGCCCGCGCTAACGCAGGGCACAACCGTCGACTGGCGCAGGCCCAGGCCAGGCGGTGGGGTGAGCGCGAGTCGGCGTCGCGGAGCCGAGCAACCTCGCCGACGCCTCCCCCAAGCCTGGCGCTGGGTCAGCCCAGCCTCGACACAACTAGCAGCCACTGCGACGCCAGTGCGCTCGCGCAGCAGGGTCGGGCGGGTGGGGAAAAACGCATCCCGCCAGCGGGACGGCCACGCGTGAGACAAATCCCATTCACCTGCGACGAGAACGCGCTCGCGGGCGCGCAGGGTGGGGATCCGCCTCAGCCGTGAATAGCCGTCCCGCAGCATTAGAGACAAGCAAGAAGATAGCCAATAGGGGCCACGACGCTCGCGCGACTTCTCCCCGCGCTCAAATGCTGCCCAGAGCGCCCATGAGAAGTCGCGTCGAGGCTGGGCCCGCGCTAACGCAGGGCACAACCGTCGACTGGCGCAGGCCCAGGCCAGGCGGTGGGGTGAGCGCGAGTCGGCGTCGCGGAGCCGAGCAACCTCGCCGACGCCTCCCGATGCATGCTCGGCGGAACGACGCCCAAGCGCGCTCTAAGCAGACCGCAGATGCCTGGTCTGCTTGACTCACGGCCTGGGCGGCCCCTGCACCGCTTCCGCGGCGATCGGCGCGTCCTGCGCGCCACGCGCCGCCGCGGAGCCCCGACCCCGATGCCTGCAGGGCGGCGCCTCGTCGGAATCGGAGTGCGCGATCTCGGCTTCTGCCGCCAGCACCATGGCTCGCGTCTTTGCGGCCGGGTACCTGTGCGCCGCCAAGCGCCGCGCCCTCGCGACCCAGGCAGCGCGGCCGTGCCCCCTGTCGGAATGGAGTGCCCGAACGCGGCCACAGATCTCCAACCCCCTTCGAAGAACAGCGCTGCTGGCCCCCCGGTGCGGAGTGCCTGCGTGCGAGAGACACGAACTGCGCGCGGGCCCTGGGTAGGCAGGGGACGGCAAGGGGAGCCCATGCCTGGTCGGCCCGGCCGCGCCTGAAGCAATGCGCCCCCCACTCCAATGCCCTATGGAGCCCGAGGTGGGCAGCGGCGAGCTTGACGCAAGCCAGCCCGTCCACGTAAGAGACGCCCGGCAGGAGCTGCTCGCCGGGCCGGAGCGAATGCCGAATGATGCAGACCGCACCGCACACAATCGTTTGCCCTGGAGCTGGCATACGCATACCCTCCAGACCTCGCGATGCGGGGAGCCCGGGGCGCGCCCCGCCGCGCGCGCGCGCTCGGCCCGCCGGGTCGGGAGCCACTCTCCCCTTCCGCTGGCGGAATTGCACCTGCACCTGGTGCTTTCCTTCGTCTACGTGGAGCGAGACGGCACTATGCCCAGGCGCATTCAGCCCCACTACTTCGGAGCCGAAGCGCAAGCAGAACTGCCAGCATATGACGAAAGCGTCGGCCATATCGCCGCGTCCGATCTGCCAAACGCCAGGCCCGCGGGCCGGCACGCACGGCAGGCCGCTTAGTTCGAAGAGCGCGCGGCCGCGCCTCGCGCAGCCAATCCGACATCGCGCGCACGTTTTCGGCCGTGGCGCGCGCACGAAATCTTTGCGCACCAGGCGGTTCCGCCTGCCGCCGATATCATGGGCTCGCGGCCGACGCGCGCGGCGGCCGTACCTTTCGGGCACCGAATACCAGGGTCCGCGTGTCCGCCAAAGACCCTGTGTCTGCGCGGAGCAGATGCAGGACTGAGCGAATGCCCTGCAAATAGTTCGACAGGGTCCCCGGGCGGCGACAGAGCGCCACCATCATGTCCCGCGCGATGGCGCACGGCGGCCAGGGCGGGACGCCTGCCGCATCGCACGCCTGGCCGTACAACTCCACCGCCGAGGCATACGGGTATGCCGAGAGCTTCCACGCGTGGAATTCTCGCCACAGCGCGGCCATCTGGATGCGGCGCATGCACTCCAGTCCTGCTCCTGACACCCGCAATTCCTCGGCGCGCCGACGAGGTGTTCCTGGCACCCGCCGCACGCCGATGTCCTGCCTCGCGCGCACCTCCCGCGGAATGCCGCCTTCGCTTATGAATATCGCGGGCGGAGCCTGGAGTTTCGTCAGCTGGCGGATTGCCTCTGCCAGCATCGGCGGCGCTGGTACCTCCGCGCCGCGCGCGGTGCACGAGGACGGTGGCGCCGCGCGGTGGTGCCTGCCGTGCCTGCCTTGCCGCTGAGAGCAACGCGAGGGCTTCTTGAGGCGTCAAACCCCCGCCGGGCCGGCGTTTCGCGCGCAAGCCCGGTGCCGGTGCCGGGCACTTGGCCGCTTTCTCGAGTAACGTTTCCGCCGCCTTCGCGCCCACGGGTCAGCGGGCGGCGGCCGGCCTTGCTTGCTCCGCCGGATGGGGCGGAGTTGCGCGCGCGCGCTCGACCTGGGAGAGCGATGCCGCTGCATCGTCCTCCCGGGGCCGCTTTGCCTTTTCGTGGGTCAGCTTACGCGCGTGAGTAATAAGCGTCACGGTGAAGCACTCTGACCACTCCCGGAGGCACGGGAACACTTCCCTCGCCTCCTTCGCCGTGAATCCGGACAGGTCGGGGGGATACGCCGCTCCTTCGGCTGCGAGCATGGATGTCAGACACTGCAGAGCTTCCGCGCCTACCGGATGCGAATCATTTTCGGGCGTCCACCGCGACGCGTGTGACAAGCACGCAAGCATGGCGCCCGCGGGCCCCCTCTCGCGGCGGGCCTGGTCGTCACGCGCTCGCCGCGCAAGCCTTTGCGCCCCCTACAAATTGCCCTGTGCTACTTGCTATGCATGCCCGCGCGAATGCCAGGGCGCCGCGCGGGGCCATGGCCACGCCACTCGGGTGAAGCCCTCGCGGTGCATGGCCGCAATCGCGGCCGCCTTCGTGGCGGGCCGCGTAGGGGCGTCTGCCACGTTGAGCGCGGATGGCACATACCACGCGCTCAGGAGGCACCGCGCGGTCGCTGCTGCGAACCAAATATCTGCCACGAGCGCGTTATAATCTGCCTGGCGCGAGGTCCCGCGTAGGAGCACCCCGAGCGCGGCCTGGCGCGGTCAGCGGAGCATCGCACGGGCAGCTCGGCGACCCGCGCCCGGCCGCGCCTTCGAATCGACAAACAACACGATTTCCGCATCGCGCAGCGTCGCGAGCAAATGATGCAAGGCGCAAACGGCCGCGACGAGTTCCCATGCCGCGACCTTTCGCAACACGGCGGGCTGTCCGCCAGGCTACGCGTGGCCGGGGCGCCCCCGCCTGCGTCTTGCGGTGCTTCGTCCACCGCTTGATCGACGAAGGCACATCAGCCGCTGCATAGCGCTTACCGCTGGGCCCAATGATGACCCACGCGAGCCTGCGGAGGCGGGGCGGGCCGGGCAATGCGGGCGCCGTTCCAAACAGGCGCGCGCGCATGTCGCCTGCCGCCGCCCGTCGCGTCGGAATAGACGAGGTAGCGTGGCCGCTCCGGGGTCACCCGCAGGGGCACCGCTCGTTCCGGCGCGCTCCGGAGGAAGCGCAGCCACCATTCCAATGCCCCGCGGAGCCGCGACTTCAACCTCCATCCCCGCTGCTGCGCGTGCCAGAACAGCGGGGCGAGGTATACCCGGGCACCTGCCGTCGCTCTCGCGCGCGCGTCGCTCGCGCGCGGGAGCTTGGGCGTGCCTCTGCCGAACACCGCAGAGGAGCCCCATCCGAGTCTGCCGGCAAGTTTTGATGCCGCCGCCGGCGACATTCTCCCTGCCT